CATACTCTGAATCGGTCAAGTTCAGTATATTCGAACTATATTTAGAAGAAACGGACGGGGTTCCTCCTCTCATTTTATTCCCGATCGATGCCGATTTTAAAAATGCACGAAATTTCAAATACAGTACCTGTATTTTCAATTTAGTAAAGTATACTCTGTTTTGAAAAATTGACCTCAGATACGTGTTTTTTTAAATTGAAAATTGTCATACCCGAGAGAGAAAATTAATGTCTAACGTCTGACCCGAAACGCGAGTATTCCATTTGTATTTTTTGTCCGTCGGGTGAATCGTGAAATTCGTTCAATTTACTTTTTTTTTTTAATTCGAATGGATGTGTTTGCCATCATCAGAAATATCATATAGAGATGTTTCCTTTGACACATAATGGCTATATAAATTTTTCGCGCTGCGGTCTCATTTTCTCAGACATTATGCTTGAGTTCATTCATGTCTAAATTTTGCTCTTCGCTTTCTTTCGCACAGGTGGNTAATTCTTGCTATGCTGTGCACAGCAGCAGATGATAGAAAAAAGGCTCCGAAAAAAAAGAAGCACAAAATCAGCCCGTTTTGGATTATGAATTAGAGTAAATTTATCATGAAAAGTATTTAAAAAAATTTTCACATGTAGATGGCTTAATTTGTTTAAGGAATATCGAATTAAAATTGTTTTTCGATTTTACTGGAAAATGTCGGCAAAGTGTCCCTACCTCGAGCCGTTGTCACGATGTCGGGCCACATTTTTAGCAAGTTTCTAGCATCCTTAAGTCGAATCGTCCGTATGCCGAGAAGTCCGCATGTCGACGTCTCACATATTTTTTTCAAAAATATTCCCGTGTCGCGCCATCTGGCAAACTGAAATGAAACTTTTCGGCGACTCTTGCTTCATGGCGCAACATTTTTAATGACATTCCTGAAGCAAGTTTTTATTTTTTTTTAATTTTTGCGCGAGGCGAAAATTAAATGGATTGACCATTTGCGTGTGTCGTGCCTGAAAGAGAAAAAAAAACAAAAAACGCGCGGAAGTGCGTCTTGAAACGTGTCAAGTGAACGGCGTTCGATTCGTGATGCTGGTCGAAAGAATTCCCTGAGGGCAAAATCGTGAACAATGATTCAAACGATTCGTCTTATTCCGTTAAAAAAAAAATAAATCATTGAAAGTATTTTTAATGCCGATTTTCAATGAGTTCAAGGTTTGATCCGTCTCGGCGAGGGGGAAATGTGCGTGATTTAATCAAAAACCCCGTGGGATTCGGATCACTTTTTTCAATAATTTCGTTTGCAAGGATGTTCTCAATACAAGTGATATCCTTAACTCACAATCTTCTGTAATATACTCTCGGAATAACGTTTAATTTTTAGTCCCGTAAGTATGTAGAAAGAGTCCTTTGTATTTTTTTTAAATCATACAAAAGTGGAAATTTTAGGACCATTCAAAAGTTCAATTCATGAGCAATAAGCTTTGTATTCGATATATTGTTCCTCGAAAGCATCTATAGTCCCAATGTGTGAATGAGAACATGTATTTCAGGTTTTGTTTAACCTTCGATTTACCGTACTCTAAATTAAAGTTGATTCCATTCCAAAATTACGAATGGATTAGTACAAGAATCGTCGGTGTCAATATATGAAATTCAAAATAAATAAAAAATCCACGCATAGTTTTATTCCTTGTTTATAATCTCGTACGTTCGATGAAAGCAGCGTTTTCAACACAATTGCTCGCCGACTTTATAAGCAAAATAATGCAAACCAAGCGGAAGTTAATTTCTCAAACATGGAAGTAGAAATAAATGAAGAATCAATACTTTAAGAAGTGCCGTGCTGATTTTTGATCTAATTTTCTGTTCAGTAATGCGGGTGTGCTTGAAAAACTATTTGTATAGAGAATATTGTTGGGGAGCAGGGGTGCCCAAGATATGGCCCGCGCGCCAGATCTGGCCCGCAGAGGCCTTCAAACTTGCCTTTGGACCATCGCAACAAAATTGCCTTAGCTTGAAAAATATCAAACAGAATTGCAAAATGTTCCTGTTTTCAGCAAGTTTTATGATAAATTTTATTTTTTTCTAAGAATCTCCTAGAAATTATTTAACCGGTACTTACAGTCAACATACAAAATTCCCAAGAATAAGTTAGTATTTCTGTAAGCTTCCAGAATTTTCAGTCAGGGGGATATAGAGCTGTTTACAGTATGAATTATGCCTCACTTGTCTAACATTTCCTGAAAATGAGAACAGTTGCTGCAGAAAGCAACTATAGCATGTGCCAGATGAAAGCATGGTAGCAGGGAGTACACAACCAATTGCACACTCCCTGTTCCCCATGCCTTCAACTGTAACATTTCCTGAAAATGAGAACACTTGTTGCAGAAAGCTGCATGCTTGTGCCAGCTGTTGCACTGCAAATAAATGAAGTATGCCTCACTTGTGTAACATTTCCTGAAAATGAGAAAAGTTGCTGCAGAAAGCAACTGGCATGTGCCAAATGAAAGCATGGTAGCAGGGTGTGCACAACCAATTGCACACTCCCTGCTCCCATGCTTTCAACTGGCACAGATTAAATATTTCAAAAATTTAGAGGAGTTCATTTTTTTTACAATTTTTCTCCACAGAGAAGGCTTGCTTTTTAATGTGACCCTTGACCACATCTGAGTTGGGCACCACATACTCTGAATCGGTCAAGTTCAGTATATTCGAACTATATTTAGAAGAAACGGACGGGGTTCCTCCTCTCATTTTATTCCCGATCGATGCCGATTTTAAAAATGCACGAAATTTCAAATACAGTACAGTACCTGTATTTGCAATTTAGTAAAGTATACTCTGTTTTGAAAAATTGACATTGAAAGTTGTCAATTTTTAAAAATTGGAAAATTGACGTGTTTTTTAAAATTGAAAATTGTCATACCCGAGAGAGAAAATTAATGTCTAACGTCTGACCCGAAACGCGAGTATTCCATTTGTATTTTTTTCCGTTGGGTGAATCGTGAAATTCGTTCAATTTTCCTTTTCTTAGAATTCGAATCGATGTGTTGGCCATCATCAGAAATGTCATATACAGATCTCTACAAAGGAAACTGTGTATTACCGATATATTTAAAAAGCGCGACGCCAGAGTAAAAGAGTCTGTAATACGAACTCAAGTAAGTACAGATTTAAAACGAGAAGCGAAAGAAAGCGTGTCCACCAATTTCCGACCCGCGTGGCGCGTGAAAGGAAAAAAATTTGCATGAAGTGCACATGCATCGCAAAACACGGAAAAGTAAGAAAAGAGCGAGAAAATAATAATCTTGACGAAAAAAAAATAGGAGAAAATAGCGCGTGAACGGGAACGAGTGGAATGTTTTTCGCAAGGACCGCAACGAGTACTTTTTATGCACCACGAACAACTCGTTCTCGTCAAGGTAAGTTCCTGCATTCGATTTCATTTTTTTTCTTTAAATTTTTTATTTTATTTTATGCAAAGCGAGCCACCCGTTCGCTTTCAAAGGCTTCATTATACGTTTCCAAGTTGTATTGAAAAGGAGACCTTTTTAAATATGGTATTTTTCTTTATTTATTTATTTTGTTCAGGCTTTCGGAGGAAAGCTATTCGCTTTTCCATGGGGTGAAAAGGTTGGGAAAAGTTTTTTTCAGGTGAGAATGCGTTAGAAAATGATGCGAAAAAGCTGGATGAAACAACCTTCGAAAAGGTTTGCCAGTTTAGAACCGTTGTTTTTATAAACTTAAAAGTGTCAGGTTATATACTGTTTTAGACTTAAGTTTTTATACATTTAAGGAAGCTAACTTAAAAATTTTTACAAATTGCACGCTTGCTTTCGGTAAATCGCATTGAATTCGCAGAAAATGCGATCAGAAATCGTCCTGAACATGACTTGACATCCAGGATGACTTTTCATGTTTCATGTCGCATATTTTGGCGATTAATTTCAGACCAGAAAACCATAACCTCATAAACGGATTGAAAGGGAAGCGTGCAATATTTTTTCTTAATTGCGTTTCGATTTTATTCAGAATTTACTGATTTACCTGTAAAATTTCAAAGTCGGCTTGCTTCCTTGTATATATATGTATAGGCAATCATTCTCAATCAAAAATGCGCGGCGTATTCCCTTCTCAAAGGGCAAAATCAAATTTTTTTAAAGTTATAATTACATTTCAATATGTTCCCTCTGTGCATAAATCGATCTTTTTTGGAGTTCAGGATTTAAATGTATTTTTCATAAAAATTCCAGGAGAAAATACCTGCTATGGTTTTATTTTTTTTATGGCCGGAGACCGAATAACATTCGAAACTTACCTTGAATCAGTGGACACATTTTTTTTCCTACCGTGATATCTCCTGAATGTTTGATTACTGTTTTTAAAAACAGGTCAAATTCAGGGCAAACCAATTATTTTTCCCGTCGTGGTTTGTTTTTCCATTTCGATATTATTTCTAATTCTTCCAAGAACTTTTCCTGCATCAATTTTAGGGTTGGAAATATCTGTTTCTTGTAATTTGGCCTGAAATGTGTTGGCAATTTTATCACAAAATGTCCGTAGATTGAGTCAGTGTCCTCATGTTGGGATTAATTTATTTGGGGGAAATAGGCGTCCTTATGTCGAATTGTCCGCAGGTTGAGGTGTCCGCATGTGGGGGGCCTCACTGTATTTCCAAAAATTCCTCAGGATTTCACTGTATAAAATATTTCTTTCTTGAAAATGAGTGATTTCTCCTGGCAGTTCCGAGCACTTTTGATTCAGAGAAATATATAATGGCCATGAATGCTCGCGGTCATCAACTGCCAGCAGTTTGAATTCTTCCGGGATCGGCGATTGATTGCTTGTTTGACTTCCTCGGGTGCATAAGCCCCTGAATAAATCGCATGATCGATGAGTTATTTTCCTCTCAAGAGCGAAGAGTGGACGTGTTTCACGACCCAGGGACTCTGCAATAAGTGGCTGTTGATGGGGACATTCAATCGCGGTTGAATAAATACCCCAAATACTGGTTTCGATGGACCCAGGGAAATGTGTGGTACTGTCCACGTTATTGTCGCATCCGTGATTCAATGAGAAAGTAGTGTCTCGAGGGCAAGCGGAAATTGCGATGCGGATTCTAAAGAAATACAAAGTGGCACAACTATAGCACGGTATATTTTATTTTATTTTATAATATATCCTAAGCTTTCCAATGACGCGGAGAAAGAATCAAACCGGAAGCCCCGTGGGTCAGTTCGGCGAAAAATCGAAAAAAATTTACTTTTGTTTCTCACAGGAAGACGTAATTTCACCGACGTACAATTTTTTTCAGAATAAATGCGGCTTTTGTTCCTTTTTCTAAATGTTTTCCCATGTCGAAAATATTCGAGGATTTAGGAAACATTAAATAAATGCACGCCCTTTTCCGCTCGTGTTGTTCTTGAACTTTTCTCGAGCGTCCCAAAAGGAAGTGCCTATTTGATCCAACCAGGAAATTTTTGCACATTTTTGTTCGTTTTAAAAGAAAACGACATAATTTGTTGTTGTTGTTCTCTACGAGTCGCAAGAATGAAATTGAAATCACGAGAAGTTGGATTGGTTACTGAATAGCTGTCGGAAATCAAAATTTTGTCTGCTAAGGTTTTTGAGGATCGAGCGACACATTTTTTCGGGTGGAACAAGATAAATCTCCAACTCATTTCCAGTTCCAAAATAATGCCAGAATTCTTATTTATGATATAATTACGATTCCAGTTCTTTATCTTGACCTCACAGTATTTGAAGAAAATTGAATGTGTGGAGCAGCAAAAAGACTCGCTGCATTTGGTCTGATTCAATGGTGATTCCTTCCATGGAATTCTTCTTCCATTTTCTAATAGATTCGTCGGGAAAAATTGTCAAACGAATAATGTGAAACACTGTGATTTGGCGGAAAGGTTCCAGTACTTCCAGCAGACAACCGCAAGAAGTCCTTGAACCGAGTTAATTGATTACTTTTCTTCAGAATGGTAACTTTGTTCCAGATTGCACGGAAAACTTTCCTTTAGAAAGTATTGTTCAAGTTCTCTGATGATAATTCGTCAAACAAAAATTTGTAAAATCGCAAAAACGCCGAGACTCCGGGTGAACAATTTGACTCCATACCACACGCATTCATCTTTCTTGAAAAATTAGGGTCTGAAAAATGAGTGGGTTCACTATCCGATGTGAAGGTTGTTGACCGTCTGGATTTGTTTGAAAAAAGTCCATCATGCGAGGCATCCATTACTTTTAGAGTTTTAACCTAAATCTTTATAGACTTTCCGGTCTGGCTTTGATGAATAAAAAAATTTGTTTTTTTTAACTGAAAGATTGAAGTATCATTTTTGATAGTGCTCTGATTTTTAGAAAGCGATTCTCACGTTGAAGTGTCACTCGTTAAGTACTTATTACGCGATGAAATCTCGAATGAAACGCGGAGAAATGCGACATCCGTAAAAGAGAGAGACAGAAAAAGAAATCACGCTTCACGAAAAAAATAAATCATGATTGTAAAAGTGATACTGTTCAAAGACTAATAGCATGATTGACCGAAAAAAGAGGAAAAGGAATGGAAAATGAGGTTTCCGAAGGAGAGGTTATATTGCTGACGGCGCGGAAAAAGACGGATTTAGATCAGGGCGTGGTCCTTTCTGCGCACTGTGCTTGATGACATGCTTCGGACTCTGGTTTTTTCGGTTAAAATTCCTTTCCTGAGTAGTATCTCAAGGTCGATCTCAACTGTAATAAAACTAGGTAGATGTTTTTTCCTCCTGGTAGATTTATTTCCTTGTCAATCACCGATTTTTATGGCTGTCTTTCGAAGCTGACCTAGAAATGCGCGGTAAAAAGGTATAGGAATACGATTTTCCTATAGGAGACAATTCGGATTTCCTGGATGTGCTTCGATTTAATTTTTCAAAACTAAGTTCAGGTGCTAAAGGTTTCTACAGAAGTAATTTCTGCTTGATGTAAAATTTGAATTTTTTTAAGCGCATAAAACCACGTTTCGTTGGTAAAATTAATTTCGATTCGCCGAGATTTCTTTTCCGTCTGGCATCTTCAAAACAGGCCAGGAATTGCGAAAAATTACTATCTGGCAATTGTTTTCAGAACCATTTTGTAGATATTTTAAATAACGGGAGTAATTTCTCCCTAGAATTTCGAATGTCAAAGATTTCGTCGATGAGGAAACCGTGTCCTGAATATATTGATGGACGTTCAAACTACTGCATTATTATTAGACTCGAAATTTCTTCTAAGATCATTCAATCATGAAAAAGTGAAACTGCAATCTTCTTCCATTCAAGGATAACTGCTTAAGCTCTTGGAAATAAAATAAAAAAGCATCCAGTGTGTACTGTATTTCAAATTTACATTTTTATGGGACGCTCCCAGATTTCGATTTTCAATTTTCATGCGTAAATGCGCAGTCTGCAAAAACCTTCGCAAGTTTTAGATTAATTTTGCCAATAGAAGGAAAAAATGCTAATATTTGCAGAAGGAAAAATAAAATAGAGCAAGACATAATCCTCCGGCATTGGGGATGAATTCTTTCATAATTTTTCATGAAGCCAATTAAAATACTGCGCTGCAAGTTTTGAGCAGAAAATTGAGCCAGTTTCTTATCATTTCATCTGGCCTATGTCATCTGTAAATTAGACCCAAATCGAACCTTTAAAATCCACCAACTGCCAAATTTCCTATACACACCTATTTTTGCTTCATTCTACTTTAATTACATATGGATAGGCTGGGGGCTTTTTTTGAATTTTAAATTTAAAAAGTTTTGTCAAATATTTGAATCATAAACTTGATCCCCAAATGGGGCTCATGGCAGGTACCATCTTCTTTTATACCAATAAGAAAAGCCTTCTGTACATTTGAAAATACAATTTTTTTCATTCTTTTGACTAAATGTTATTATTTAAAGCTACATGTGAGTGCATAGCTTCTGATGCATTTGTGATGCTAGAATGCTGCAAGGAATGAAATTCAAAAATCTTTTTCTATACTGTATTTATCCAAACAATTCTGAAAGTTTTTTAAGCAAAAAACTCTATGATCATGATCTAGCCTATAAACAAAGTAATTTTAAAGATTTTTGACCTGTTATATGAAGTTCAAAAGCTTTAGGGGCATCTTCAAAAAATTTCAAAAATATTGTCTTCATTATATGCCATGCGAAAAATAGAAAAAAAAAATTCAAAGCCAATTTTTTGTTTGTTTGCATGTTTTAAAATTACTTTTCTATGCTGAGGTCAGCAGTTTTTTATATTCAAGATGAGGAACTTTTTTGATACATTTTGGGAAAATTTGAAATGTATTTTTTTTACATCCTACCTGCCATGAGCCCAATTTGGGGATCAAGGTTTTTGCATCTGCTGTGATGAATCAAACTATCAGAAATTTTAATGAAATATGCAAAAGCATTCAGAACTAATCAGGCTACAAGGAAATAAAATAAATTTGAGTTTATAGCTCCATGAAAAAGTACGTTGCTTGCATGCATTCCAAAAATCATGTTTCAACTTTTCAGCAGAATTTGTGATGTTGCTGTGGATTTAAAAATGGACACGGATTGCCAAATGAGGTCTTCAATTGTATAGATAACTGCATTGCAGAGCCACTGCATATTTTTACATAATTTTCGTTTGATAGTATTTTTGGGGGGACAAAAAGAAAAAAAACATGAGTCCCAAAATGGGGCCCACAGCAGGTAATAGGTTAAATAAAAAAAACTGTATTTTGCAAATAGGCCACATCATAAGTCTTCATGGCATCTTCCAATTAAAAAAGTACTGAAAAGCTCATTTTAAATTTAAGCTTCGCGACGATTCCGACGATTCATTTTCCTGGCGAAATCGATCCGTGAAAAAAATTGGTCGGCGGGAAAAATGTCCCGCCCTGGTTAAAAGAAGGGAGAGAGACTCCTTTTAAGCTCTGATAGTGGCTCTTTGCCTGTTGAAGCGTTGCTGGCTACTACTTACCTACCTACCTAACTACCCACTCGGTATTTCCGGGGGTTCTGTTCCAAAATCATGAACGGGGAACACAGAGGAGAAGAAGAAGAAGAAGAATGAAGAGGTCTTGCAACAGGACTTGCGAGGGATTTCTCAGAAGTAGTTGACAAAATAAATTGGGGTACCTATTGCCAATCCGCGTCGAAAACATACATAAAAAGTCCTCATTTTCAGCAACTCCGTTGTGACTGTTGAGGAACTCATCATCATCAAGGAAGAATTAATGACATTTTGAACCCATTTTACAGTGCAAAGGTACCAGAGCACAATCATGAAGCAAGTGATATTACCGTACATTTATTTCAAAATTATGATGATGCAAGGTCAAAGGAACAACTTCAAGACACTTAACACATGGAACAACGAAGGAACACATTTTGAACCTATACAGCGGCATTAATTTTTATTTTCTAAAGACTAGATGCTTGTAAAAAAAAAATTGACTGAATGACTTACACTTGGAAGAACCATAAACTGTAGTCTGATCCCAAATTTGTTCCGTGTCAAGTTAAAAATAAAAAATTACAAAATATCCGTCCTGGTCCATCAACTGGTTACACCTGATTTTCAAAACCCTTCTACATTCTTGACGCTCCAACTTGCGAATTACAGGTTGACTCTATCTACAAAGAAATTCAAGGCTCCGTGAAAAATCTTTGTAGAGAGAATTTTATTGTTTATAGGAGCCCCCTAAACCCCATGGGACCCCCCAAAAAAAAATCGTTGCACAGAGAAATTCCTCGTTGACAAGAATTACCGCACTGTGGAGAGATTCGACCTGAATATTAGTTCACATGGAATGAAGTGGCTCAAACTTTTTGTAAAAAATGTTTTTAAAATTAATAAGAATGCTCCTTTTGTCTTCGACTGCCTTTCACGCTGGGTTACACTTGGTGGACTTTTGAAGTGCCCCTTTTTTCCTTGGCATCGTGGGACGAGAAAAGTGGAGCGCACGCGACTTTTCCCGCGATCGGGAAACGCGATTCGTTGTCACTTTCATCGTGTCGACAGATGATGAGAAGGGAGGTGCAGGTCTTGCCTAAGAAAAAATGAAGAATGAGAGCAAGTAGAAGAACTGTAGGGGAGGAAAAAAACAAAACAACAACAACAAAAAAACTTGAAAGACTATAAGATCTTTGGAATGAAGGAAGGAAGGAAGGGATCGAATCACGCTCTTTTAGTCGGCTTTGTGCATGTTTTTATAAAAAGCAAACTGGCGGCTAGCCCAAGTTGGGTAGCCTGTCAGGTAGTTCGCTCCTCTTGTTAGCTAGCTAGCAACTAGTGCGCCCCTGAAGACTGGAAGCTAACACCTCGGCTTCTTAACAAAAAATATTTTATTTATTTTTTGTTTAAAATTTCAGATTGATAGAGAGAAAGAAAAACATGAGTGAATTTGTTCCGGACCCTCCACCCACGTCCGCCTATCCGGGGAGATGATCTTTTATGCGAACTTTCTGCACAGATTTCGCAGAAGTGCTTCAAAAAAAATCTGAATACAAATCTTGGTGGGAACAGATGAGACCTTAAATTCGAAAATAATAATCGGATCTTCTGATATTGAATTTTTGTCGCTATGATTTATTCTCTTCGCGAATTAAAATTGACTGCGAAATTATTTTTCACAAGCTTCTGTGAGCTTGGAATCTCATCTGCAGAAAACATTCAATTGAAAAAAAAAATGTTTTGAGCCTTGTAAAGAATAACAGAGCTTCTTACCTGAGGTTTGCTGAGGGTTTTGTTTCTCTAAACTTTACAGTGTTGATGAAAATTGTTCTTTTGCTAAAATAATAAACCTTTACACTCTGGACAAATCTCGAAATGCATTCCTAAGAGATGTATTTCGAGTATTTTTTACTTTTGGGTTTTCCCTGTGAATTCCCGGCCCTGTTCCTGGGCTGATTCTGTGTTTCTCTTTTAATATTATTTTGATCCACAGCCGTTTTTCTTGTGTCCCCAACAATGGCAAGATTTTTTTCGTTTGACCGCCGATCGGGTTCAACCCATCGGACAGTCCATCAAGCGAGGAGAACAATCGATCGATCGTTGATCACGCGGGGACTTCTGACCTTCGATTGTGGAGCCGAAGAATTGTTTTTTATTTTATTTATTTTTTGTTTAAAATTTCAGATTGAGAGAGAGAGAAAGAAAAACATGAGTGAATTTGTTCCGGACCCTCCACCCACGTCCGCCTATCCGGGGAGATGATCTTTTATGCGAACTTTCTGCACAGATTTCGCAGAAGTGCTTAAAAAAAAAAAATCTGAATGCAAATCTTGGTGGGAACGGATGAGACCTTAAATTCGAAATTAATAGTCGGATCTTCTGATATTGAATTTTTGTTGCTATGATTTATTCTCTTTGCGAATTAAAATTGACTGCGAAATTATTTTTCACAAGCTTCTGTGAGCTTGGAATCTCATCTGCAGAAAACATTCAATTAAAAAAATGTTTTGAGCCTTGTAAAGAATAACAGAGCTTCTTACCTGAGGTTTGCTGAGGGTTTTGTTTCTCTAAAATTTACAGTGTTGATGAAAATTGTTCTTTTGCTAAAATAATAAACCTTTACACTCCGGACAAATCTCGAAATACATTCCTAAGAGATGTATTTTGAGTATTTTTTACTTTTGGGTTTTCCCTGTGAATTCCCGGCCCTGTTCCTGGGCTGATTCTGTGTTTCTCTTTTAATATTATTTTGATCCACAGCCGTTTTTCTTGTGTCCCCAACAATGGCAAGATAAAATACAGTATATGGTATGCAGGAAGTCGTCAATCCTTTCATAGCTGCGTATATTCTCTCAAAACTTACTGCTGTATTCTGAAATCTTGAAAGTTATTGATTTATGTAGGATTCATGCTGGAACAGGAAAGGAAAAAAATCAGAGTCATCGCCCTCCTGTCGCGTTTCCCGTCTTTCTCTCTTCATTTTATCACTTCCTGTAAATAAATAAACTTCTTCCGCTCTCTGGTTTGATCAAGTTGTGCTTGAGAAAATCGGTTCCCGGTTCTCATGATTGTACGAGCAGGTGATCCGGGCCAAAGGGTCAATCTTGGCTCCACTTCCTCTTCGTCAAAAGGTTTCCGCTTCACCCTAACGGAGTCAGTTTGTGAACTTTGACGAAAATCGAAAAACCTTCGCCTTTTTTATGTAATTATTATTGAATCTCTGTCGAATGCATTCATTTCAAAGTGGTTTCCCTCGGACTTGCTGATTTCGCACTAGCTCAATTACGCCTCCGTGTTCCGAGAAAACCCGATACTAAATCAAATGATGAGCTGCGCCAATCGTCGTTCGACCGATAATTTGTAGGATAAAGTCCGTATAGGAAGTCATTCGAGAAAAAAGGTTTTATACGAGATTTTCTGTACCTGTAGATGTATCCAAATGTAACGATTATGAGAAAGGGTGATTCTTGGTTTATGGCGTCACACAAGAGAAAGTCTCCTATATAAGATACTTCGAAAACAGAAAGTTGTTGCCGAGCAAAATTGGGAAAAAGCCACGTCAATATCGACTCAAGTGACGAGAAAAAAATAGATCCAGCCACAAGTGTCAATAAACCGGAAAGTTTGCAGAATTTGAAGTGTGATGTATGGAATATGTCTCGGAAATTCTGTGAAATGTTCTCGGCTTTTTTTGGAATCTAAACAAGTCAAACCTCCATTATTTCAATGTTCCAGCTAATCTTCGGGAAACTGCAACTTCTTGATACAATTCAAACCTCCTTAACTCAAACGTTGCTTTTTCAAATTTTCAACTAAATTTTTATTCAGTAAAGAAGAGGACTAAATTATAGAAAACCGTTCCAGAAAAAAAACAGATGACAATTATCTTCTTTACGCTCTTTGCAAGGGATTAGTGTATTTTCGTGAGTACGACGTACACTTTTTTTCTGCAAAATCGAAAAGACCGAAAGGAGGGATTATGTAGACTTTGTGGGAATACATTTCCTGAGACGAAGAGAAACATTGTGAAAGCAAATGTGCAAGCTCTAGTCATTCTTCGTAGGTGAAAAGAAAGAACAGATAATATAATTTTTCACCAATCCCTTGAAAAAGCTATATGCTATTACAGTATTTACTTGTCGGATTGCTTTGTTGAATATGATTTTTAAAATGCCAGTTTTCAAGCATGCACACCTGGTGTTTGCGTCTCATGCAGGGATACATTATTTGGAAAATGTCCTGCTAAAAATCCAAGGTGTTTTTCTAATTCAAAGGCAGGTGGCACTTGAGTTAACATAGTATGCATCTTCCTGCTTAAAATAACATCTATTAATAATGAACAGTCCTGACAAAATAGTTTTCATTAATCAATCCAGCACCGCGATGAAGCCACTTTTCCCAAGTAGGAAACTCTCCAAGTGGAATTATTTTTGAGTCCGAAAAAATATGCGATTTCTAGAACTTCAACTGTGCAGCATTTCTTCTCAAGAGCCCCACTGTTTGATATAGGGATGAATTATAGTGGACATTCAAGTACCTAAGGTATAGAACAATTCCAAGAATAAAGAAGAAGAAAAAAAGCGAGGCATCTTGCAACACTCGCTTCACTTCCGGACGCGAATGTTTCGCTTAACTGAAAAAAAAATAAATGGGACGAGAACAAGCTCTGAGCAGGATGCTAAAGAAGAGAACTCTTGCTGTACAGTACACCATACTGTATAGCCGTTTTCTTTTTCTCTCGCTCTCTTTTGTGGGACCAGTTTTTTGTTGTTGTTGAATGCGTTGGCGATGCTGGGTTCCTCAGGTCAACGCCTGGAGGTTGGTCAACACCTTCCTCGTCCGGTTTCCTCAACGCCTGGTTGACTGACTCCACGCGATCCACCCAACCAACGTTTGCGACACTCAGTCAGCCTGAAAATTCTGATGTCAGACACTCAACTCAGTCTCTCGAATATATATATATATATATATATATACATTTTTTTTTAAACACTGACTATGTTCAAATAGTTGCCCTATAAAGAATTGTTCCAGACAGCAAAGGTATTTTACTGGTCACTATTGTTGCTGGGCATGCATGCCCTGTAAAGTAATTAACCCTTGTGCAGCAAAGTTGGACTATTTTTGCAAAATTTTGTGGCACCTCAGGGAGGTTTGAAAAAAATGATAACAGGTGGTCAAGGGCAAAGTTGGGAAAAATCCCAATGCTTTTTTCTCTGAACACAGAAAAATTTTGCCTGCAAAAAAAAAATTATCAGTTGGGCTACCGGCTTTTTTTGGATTAGTCCCAACTTTGCCTCAGCTCACCTGGAAGGGTTTTGGTGACCTTCCAAAAAGTGAAAATTTGGGAGGATACAAAAATAATCCGACTCCGTCCTGCAATGGGAAAGAACCCTGCTGTCCAAGGGTTAACAATCAAACCCAGTTAAACTGCCAATGTTTGTGCAGCAGAATTTTGGCGGTTTAACGGGGTTGGTGGTTTAACAAGGGGGGGGGGGTTGCCACAGTATTTAAGGAATAAGTGTATTTGATATTTAAAAAAAAATTTCAACCTCTATCCCTCCCCATCCTGCTTTTAGTGAAGATGACTCTTCATTCTTTTTTGTGGGGACATAAATCTCTCATTCTTTGCATCTTTAAATTGAGAAAACAAATAATTTTAAAAAATATTACCAGAAATATGAAGCTTCGAAGAGAGGAGACAAAAATTGGTGGTTTATTGGGGTAAAAAACAGTGCCAAGATCCTGTTTGTTTGGCAAAAAACATTTGCGGTTGGCAGATGGCGGATAAACACGGTTTTCCCATCCCTTCAAGCTTGAAAAGATTTGTTTGGAAGGAAAAAATGGCAGGAAGCAAGGGTGGCAGTTAATTGGGGGGCGGTTTAACAGGGTTCAACTGTACTTTGATTGATTCCTAGAAGTACTGTACAAAAATATTCCCCCCTCCTCAAAATTGCAGTGCCAGGAACATCCTCCATGATATCTTTCCCTTTACCCCTTTACACACTTACACTTTGCCCGTTTAAACTAGGAATTCCTAAATGGAATTCTCGGTCCTGTCCCTGACTGATTATTGTGTTTTATTTATCAGCACCTGACATCAAATTATATTTGTGACATTTGTCCTCAAAAGCAATGGTCTTTGATGTATTGAGATGTTTGCTGTATTTCCATGTTTTTCTATGACTAGTGATCCTACGTGGTTCCTGAAACCCCCGGCAAATCTGACACATGTGAATTGCTTTCATCAAAAATTTTCCCAGAAAATTCAACTGGGATACTTTCAAAAAAGGCGTTTCTCAATCTGAAACGTCCATTCAAGTAGAGGAAAGCTTTTTTGAAAGCAGTGAAGTAGGCATAAGTGCTGAAATTTCCGGGAAAGTAATTGATGAAAGCATTCCCATGAGGCGGTTTTGTTGAGGATTCCAGGAATCACATAGAATCACAAAACAAAGAAAAATGTGGAAACAGAGTAAAATCTTGAAACAACGAAGCCATTGGGACGATTACAATATATTCGTTGCTACGAAAAATTCTTTATAAAGCAACCGATTTAGCATTGCGGCAATTGGGCAGAGACATGAAAAAAAAGATTTTATTCGTTAAAACGAGGTTCTTCTCTGAATAAAAATCACAATAGGCCGAACAAATTATATTAAGCAAAGAAGTCTGAAATTTTCATACGATGTCACTCTAGAAATCTGATTGAGATCAACTCCCACCAATTGTGAAGTATTTCAAATCACCAAAGAAAAAAAGTATCATAAAAAAAAATGCTTATGACTATATCAGAGGTGCAGTTTTCTTGACACTATTCCGCCCGGTATTGTTATTATAGGGAAATAATACAGAAAACCTATTCAGACGAAATTTAAATAAAACTTTTTAAAGGTATCAATCCTATACAGGGAATTTAATTTACCAGACCGTTGGTGCGTTTTTCGGAAATGAAAGGTTATTATTGATACAATAACCCCCTGTTGCGTAAACTTCTGGGATGAAAATCGATTCCAGTTTTCATAACTTTTCGGGCCACATTTTCACTTCTCCCTTTAGAATTTATTTCGTGGCCTAATCATTTTTCTCTTTTGAAACGGTTGTCTTGAACTCTTGAATAAAGAAGTCGCCCACAGTTTCACACGGTCACTTAAATCTGAATATTTCTACAAAAAGTGACGTGCAATTTTTTCTGGAAATATTATCAAACCTTGAGATGAAGTTTTTTTTTCTTTATTCACGGCGAAAAGGAGAGGAATATTTTCCTAAAGATTTCCTCCACTTTATCTCTCTCGAAAATGAACAGATTTCTGAAAGTATATTGAGCTTCTAGTGGGATGAAGCTTCGTTCTAAAAGAGAAAGACGCAGTACATGTGTTTGTTTCGTTGTACTGTGTAATACGGGACTTTCGGACCCGTACTTTACGCGTTATTCGGAGGAATTCATACCACATTCCAGCGGCCATAACCGAAGCAAGAATTATAGGTTTCACAACGCCTTGAACCGCACATATTGCATCACTTTAGTTCCAGCAGCAGAAGCACCAGGTGGAGCAGGAAGTTCCTTCTGGGCGGGATTCTTCGGAACAAAAAAATTTAAATAAAAAATAAAAACCTGCCGAAAAGAATTCTCTTTTCCTTCTACGTCGTCTGGTCATCCCAACGGGAATCACTTCAAATATCTGTTGCAATAAAATATAGAGCCTTCCTAAAGCAAAGAGAACAAACAATATTCTCTGGACTTTCTACTACAGCAGTGCTGTTCCCAAATGCCAAACTACAGTATATGACTAAGGTTGGAGATTTCCTCAAATTAATTTGGAAAACTGGTTCACTGTACTGAATCTGCAATCAAATTACCTTTGAATGAATGAACAGAAAGCTTTTTTCCCGCTTTTCAGCATTCACAAGGTTCAGTAAACATTACCACGTCCAACCCCCCCCCCCTCCCCAACCAACCAAAATCAACTGAAACGCATTAACTCACTTCAGAATGGGAAACACAGGAAAGAAAGCTGCATATGGATACAAAAATAAAAGAAAATACATTCTACAATGTACAACTACACAACTGAAGTGTATGCACACACCCCGTTCTTTCCCTGACATTGAAAACAAAATTTCAGTTGCAAGAATTGCAGTGTGAGACATAATTATAGTAACTGCAGCAGTTACTGAACCCAATTTGAAGCACAAGGTCTTCAGCCTGTTCCCAGATAAGGATGAGTTGAATGAACAATCTAGAGAGAATCTTTGATGAGAAATTATAAACGGTCAACAGTTTATCTTGATCCTCTATGATTTCAGAAAGGGTCTCTTCATTGTATTCCAATGATTTTAAATCTTTCTTAAGCTCATTTCTATCAGTATGGAATGCTGCTGGGCATAATAAGAGAAGGTGCTCTGGTGATGCACCAACCAATGTATTTATGCTGCAGGAATTACGCCATTTAGACACCTTTGAAAATCGGATGAATGTTTTATTAATGTGCCATAAATTTGTCAAAAGAGCTACAGTATCATGTACCAATTAACTTTTGAGACTGTAGTTTCAGACAAAGTGATACAACACATTAGTCTGCATGTAAAGGTTTTTTGGCTGACATGTTCAAATCATGCCTTCAATCATCTGTGTGAAAACAGTGTTTCCTCCTTTACTGGGACATAGTTTCAGTATTTCAATGTGGCAGCCAGTATCGTTATTTTCTGCAAAAAAATGTGAACACAGCCCAAGCAAATTCCCTCAACTGGTGAATAATTTTTATTACCATTGAAAGGCGCCATTTTCCATTGCGTTAAAACGAATTTCATGCCCATCTCTCTCCCTCCCCCCACCCTTCCTCCAAACATGAGCTCCACAAACTGGATTTTACGCCATTAGCTTTGGCTTTTTAATTTTATCGTTGAAAGCTTCTCAGATGATCGATTGAAACTCCGTCGTTATTGCTTACTCAACCGAAGCAGGCATATACGGTACGTATATCCCATTGCACAATGTGGCAATGGAAACGTTTTCGACCGACTCCCAAACCCGATTGGCGCAACGCGTTCAATTACCCAATGCCCATTTGCCAAAGCGTTAGCATTGCCACAACCTTGAGAATAGTTCCACTGTAGGTTTTTTTTCCGAGTCACTAGCCTTCCACTGATGTCTTTTATCGCCATGCTTTCAACCGCATGACTGCCCCCGAGGGTAAATTGAAGTGGAAATTTTTAGATCCTCAAATGTGCATAGCAATGCTGAAGTGAATGAAAAATTAGCTTAATTGCTGAGGACATTATTGCACCATGAGCGCGGAAAATAGATATACAGTATTTTCATACTGATCAATATCTTGTGAACACCTGTGAGCTATCATGGGGATTCATGTGGTGGAAAACTATGTGAAGAGGATAAATAGAGAAAAATGGCGTTAACAGCCATTCAGTGCCAAAAATATGTGTATTTTTTAAAATAATAATGAAAGAATTCAAACCACAAATCAGGAAAATACAAACACAGAATTAAGCGGAATTTGTGCACGCAAATTAAATGGACACAAAATCAGAGTCAAATGAAAACATGCTCCTTTCCTCCAAAATATATACAATTTTCAGATTACTTGTGAGAATGAAGCGGAATTTTCAAATTTTATTGTTTTACAATTGTCCTGACGAAATGGTAAAATTTATTTTCCCGCATACAATTGACAGGAAATTCTTGTACTACTAACTGATTTCTGAAGGTATTTTGAATAGGGTTTTGCACATTTCGATGATTTTGAACCTGCAAACGAGAAATCCGTTGTTCGACGGGATATTTGAGTTTCGCCACGTATTTTCCCCCATGAAATAACCTTGAAAATCTTTTTTTTGACGCCGATGGAGGAAAGGAATTCCTGAATAAGGACGAAACTTTTGATTCAATTTCAGGAAAAAAAACGACAAATATGGATTGAAGTGCAGTCATTTCGCAATATAAGTGGGACATTCGAATCAAGAGCCGTGTGGTGAAAAGTAAACCGCAAATTTTAGACAGCAGGGATTTTAAAAGAAGGAATAGACTTGTTTACTATATGATAACATTCAAAAATATTTTTCAAAATCCAACGGTTCCGCATTTTGATTGATTGCTGCTTTCCTTTGACGTTGACCTTCCATCTTCTTACACTTATTGAAACTGTTTCAAACAAATATTTCTAATTCCAGTTTTTTTCTTCGAATTTCACAATTTTTTAGAATGTGTGTATTACAATTTTTTTCCAGTGATACACTTACTTTAAAGTTTCATCGTTTCAGTTTTTGAATGGTTTGTTTTAAGTTGCCAAGTGGGTGAGTTCAAAAGACTCCTGAATGGAACGATGAAAAGTCGTCAAGATTTTTGGAAAGCAAATCATGGTGAATGACATACAGTAACATACAAATTTATTCTCATTCACTACTTGACTACTGAACGAATAAATGAGTTGAATTAGTGCGCATTTAATGGTTCTCAATGGGAATGAATAATTGTTGTCGCTCATTTCATTCAAATTCGCATCGTAGCACCATTTCGCCGTAAAATTCGACGGATACAAAAAAGGCTGTTTTCATATTATACTGTACTATAATATAGTATATAAACTTGTATATTTGTTCTCGGCCTTCGCTTGAATGAACATATATAACTTCTTCCAGGCTATGAAGCAAACAAAAATAAAAATAAAAAGGCGGGCTCAAGTCGAAGTGAACAATCAGGGGAAGGTCATTATCACGAGCCCCGAAAGAAACGTTCCTTCCAAACCCGAGACGTTTTTCATTTCGTTTCAGCAATTCAGCAAAAAAAAAATTTTGAATTCGAGGGTCGTGACGATGACTGTTTAGGCCGACCCCGTCAAATTACAGGCCCTGACTGAATCACTTCCTGTCCTCTTAAAGTTAATCAAGCACCTTGAAAGAAAGAAAGAAAAATGAAGAAGGAAAAACTTTGCCTTTGAGACTCTGACTTCGGGAAGTGTGTGTATATGTATATCTGCGTGTGATTCGGCCAAGAAATTTTTGCCTTGAGGCAGGGCGTGGTATCCTGTTGGTTAGATAGAGATCCGTGGTGAGATCGTGATCCCCGGACATGTTTTCTGACGTTCAAGTTCATTATTTTTATTATCTTTTGTCGAGGCTGTGCACGCTAGTTTAGTTTGTTTTTCTTCATTTTTATAACTACTGTACAATATTTAATCTAACCTGATCTAGGAAGAATCTTCGATAACGAAAAATTTGTATTATTTCGCGATGGTTGAAGCCTCGTTGAAATGATGATTTATTTGTTAGGAATTTATTGACAGAAAGAAACTAATGCAGATCTGAAATATTTATTCATGTATAGAAGCAAAATCGTTCATGAATCAGTCATATTCTTAAACTGAAAAAAATCCTTCTTTCGTCTGGTACGAATTAGTGGCTTTACTTATTTTTTTTCCTTGGGAAGTTTCAAGGTTTCATTGGTCTAATTGGTTAGTCACAGTGTTTCAGTGGAACTCATTTTTCTTATATTCAGGCACTAGGCGCAAATATTGACTTTGATTTCAGTGCTTTGTTAAAGCTTTAAGTCGAAAATACGATACCCTTTCGTCGTATGAATCGATTTGTTCTCTCTCATTCCGATGAAATCCTCTTACTTCCTAGATTTTTTTTTTGGCAACGAAACTATCTCAAGGGCTTTGGAAAGGATATTGTTCTCATTCAAAACACGCGAAAATAATAGATATTCGTCAACTTCCTTTTATTCACTCAATTTGAAATTACAATCCAATTATCGTACATTTCATTCCCTTTTTGGGTGAAGGTTGATTATGAAATAATTCTTCTACTGTTTCAACCTCACTGGAGACTTTGAATGACTTATTCGGCGAAAATTTGCCTAGATTCATCGCAATACGGTATATTTTTGCTTCTGTTATAGCACTACATTGAAATTTATCGACAATCAGTCGATGGTTATGTTCTATATTACTTAAATAGATTGCAAGCATGAACGGAATCCAAAAAAAGAGTTTGAATATATTTATTAAACAACGTTTTTCACGATTATGTGATCATGGACATCTGAGGTCGATCGTGTTGCACGAAGGAACAATCGTGTGCTGACAGGATTAAACCGCATTAAACTTCCATTAAAACATAAAATATAAGTATTATGTACTGTGCAGTTCAAGGATTCCATCCCATGGGAAATCATATCAGTATACTGTAATAATTATGCTAATTTTATTGGCGACGATGCGTTCAGTTAGTGAATTGAACTTCCAGGGATATTATGAACGCCAATTGTGGGCTTTTCTTTTTTCGTGGGAGTCTCAATTCTTTAATGCGGTCTCCTTTCACTGAACCGCTGCGGAAATATTCGCAGAATAAATAATAATTACATAAATGTACTCTCAGCCCTTTTCGTGTGCTCATGTAATCCTTGATTGCACTTAAAGTGTCTCATTTGCAAAGCCTCGAGTGTGAGGAAGCATGACGTGTTGTGTTTTTTTATGAGGTGCACACGGAAACGAAGTAACGATGAAAAATCGTGACCCGAAACGCTGTTATTGCGAACCCTTGGGACCTTTTGACTTCCTAGTGCCAGCAGATATGGACTTTGGAAGACACGCCGTAATTTCTTTTTGAAGTTGAATTCTGTTTCGCAACGCCCGGGTTTTTTTTTCTTTTCTCGCGTCCATTGGGACTGAAAGTGGATGAATTAGGCAGAGAAGATTACTTTTCGAGTGAAATCTCTCTCTCTCTTTTTTATTTCATTTGGACAATATGGGACTTGAATTAAAGGCACATAAACAAAGGAGGGCACAGCAAGGTTGAAACAATGGTACGGCGTGTTCGTGCGAAAGCTGCATTTATTTCCGAGAGACGGCTTGTGAAAGCGTGAAGTCTCGGTGCATTTTCTTCGGCGATTCGTAAAAAAAAAAAAAAAAAAAAAGCTATTGGAACCCCTTTTCTTCCGCCTATTATTTTTTTTTCAAGGAAAACATTACGAGGTTTCCCCTGAGGGAAAAGTACTGTAGTACCGTACCTTTATTTCCTAAAATGTGTGATATTTTTTGCCATGATTTAAATGTTGTGAAATTTGACAAAAAAAATTTTCGTCTGTTTTTGTTGCAGGTGTTGGAATCACGAGCCGTGATCGTGTTTCGATGCTGGGATGCTGAGTTTTTGATCAACGATTGATCCTTTGTCTGGTTTTCCGTCGTGGGTGTTTTTTATTTTTTCGGAATACGTTTAAAAAGTTGTAACCCCCTTTTAAAATGAAGTGAAATACGAGCAGGGAAACAAAACCGCGATTTCGGAAGTGATTTTCGAGTGTTGCGTGTGCACGGCGCAGTTTTTGCCGCCTTTTTGTTTTTCATCCAAGGAGACATCCGCTTCATCTTCAAGGTATTGTTCAACTTTTTTTGATTCTACAGTATTTTTAATGCAATATTTTAATGCTATATCATGTGCTGTAAAATCTTGTTACAGCAAAACCGTTGAGGCCAGTAAAACTGCTCCGTTAGAAATTAACTCAAATGATATTTCAGCTATTTGACAGGGACACGAGGATTCGTTGAAATCGATTATTATATAAGACGTGATTCTTTGTGAAGAGGCTCTACTCAATTTAATTTTGGGTTAAAATGGTAATAGAAAATGTCGTGGATTGCTTTCACTCCAAAACTCTATTTCCGACAAGTTTTTCTGCACAGATTTTCTCAAAAAAAAATTATTTGGCAATTCGGGTCTTCTTGCTATTGCTATACAATTTTATCCAGCCTCACTCAAATACCTATATAACTTAAATCGCCAATCTAACCTCTCTACGCTAATATAACATCAACTACCTACGAAATTACCATTACGAAGCAAAATATTACCAACATACGAGGAAAACTGAGCCAAATTTTTTATTCGTTAAATGGTGGCTCACAACTAAAAAAAGAGGAGCGGAATATTTGTAAGAGGCATGTACCAAGAAATAATACATATGAAAATTATTTGGAGAAGCTTACCTGCTATATAATGAATTAAGTAGCATTTGCATACTTTTCTGCAGTAAAATTACTGTCTTCGCATTTTTTTATTGAACCAGAACTGGAAAATGAACCAATAATGAAGCTTCGAGATGTTAAAAAAAAGGTGCGATTTTTCAACTTCTAGAGAGCAAAATGAATTGAAAAATTTGGACGAGATTTCCTTCGCCAATTAATGGGATCTATATATGAAATTTTTTTTTAAAGTTCTACATACACTTCAGGTTATAAATCGATACGATCATTGGAATATTTTATGGAGCTCCTATACAGTACTCGTATGTTATTAGTTTAAATGAAGATTGTTTCGCATACCCGAAGAGCTGTATATTGTATTTTCCTTTTCGCCATTTCGATTCCTTCCCAGAACGATGAACATTTGTGTTTTGCTGACCATAAGATGAAGCATTCGTTTTTTTTTTTTAATGTGCGATTTTGAAGTGAAAAGAGATGTGCAAATTTTTCGCTTGGAGTTAAACCTTTTACATATAAACAGCCTGTTACGGATTTTTTGCGGTATTTTTGGATGTAACGAAAAACATACCTTACCTCTTTGCATCATTGGCGTTCTTGACTTTCAATTTAATCAATGTTTTGATCCATTGTTTTTCTTATGTCATTTTTTTGCAGATGAACGTGGTATTCGTTGCCTTGTTGGTCATGATTTCTTTCGTCGTCTGCACAGAATCTGCCGATGCTCCGGGTGAGAAAATATTTCATATTTTTCTTTCTTTCAATTTTATGTTTCTGGAAAAAAGGGCAAATCCGAAATGAGACGCTCGTGGTTTTATTTTCTCCCCTGAAACGATATTTGCACGGAAATTTAATGTGTTGTATACTGTGCGGTGACAAAAAGCGGAAGAGAGGAATAAATATTTATAGTAGTAAAATGTTGACCTTTGGTCAAGACTGCCATGTTTGATTGGAAATAAAGTTCCTGTACCGTACAATGCTGTATATACAGCAGTACTTTGAAGGTCAAAGCCCAGAAATAAACCAAGGATGCGACTTACGCAGATTTCGTTTTTGAACGAATTGCTTTTCGAGGAACAAGTTTCAAAATCCCAGATCGTTAGGCATCCGTTTGCATTTGTCAAGTACTCGTCCAGCGTAAAAAAACGAAAAATATGATTGTCTTCTTGAAGCTTGAGACGTTGTTGAAAATTTGAGAAAAGCTTATTGAATATCACTCAATGTTCAAATGCTTATATACTGTATATATACAACCATGACCTCCATAAACGACTAGATCGAAAATTGTATGAATTAAAGCTTATCAAATTTGCTACTGAAGCGTTCAGATTGACCTGAATTATATCGAAGAATAATTGCGAGCGTTCCCAGGATAATTGCGCAGAAAATATTTTGCCGCCACAGGGTTATTATTATTTTTTTCCTCCGTCAGCCTGCCAAAATACATAAAGACGATCTGATATTGGATCGAAGTGTTCTGAAATAACATGACAGAAATAATAACGAGCTGCACTGTGCTCTAAAGCCTTTCAAGATGAATATCATGCATCAACCTCTCAATTTTTTGAGACAGCGGGTTGATAATTTTCTAGGAAAAAAACTCGTAAAAGTCGTAATGCTCATTTCAGAAGAAATAAAACTGTAAATGGGAACATCGTTGGAAGAGAAACAAATTATCTTTGAATTTGAATCGTCAATTAAGCTCAATTTACAGGATAATTGATTAATGATGTTCCTCTGAGTTGGTTTTTTTGGCTGATGGTTTACGGCTTTACGCAGATTATTTAAAAAGACTTCAATGATCCGAATCCCTCAGGTTTTTTTTTTCGCCCGTACTAAATCCTGCATATTTCTTTTTAGCATGTGAGCGAGATTACTTCTCAATTATTGCGAAAAACTGGAAGTTCTGAAGTTTTTAAATCCATTTAAATTTTTAATTAATGCATTTCAGTCCTTCATGGTTGGTTTTTCTACTCCATTTATCCTTTTTTGTGGAAGAAATTAGTAAAACAGCTCTTATATCCATGCTTCGTCCAAGAAGTTAATGGCCTTTGCGTTCTCATAATGATTCTTCTTTCAACATTTTCTGCGTCAAGTTCGGCAGCATTTCACCTATTTTCAATTGACCAGAATTTTGTCCGATTCGTGTTTCATCAAATATAAATTGTCTGGGATCTAATGAGCAGAAATTAGATTGATGGTCTACCTTCAGATGAGAATAAAAATGCTAGGATCCCTTTTCTACACAATTTCATGTTCAAATTTTCCACACATTTTTTTTTTATCGGAAAACTTGAAACGTTTCTTTGTGTGAGTCCCACTTTTCCGGGGATTATTGAATTTTTGTGGCTTGTGCATTTTTGCTGTACCTAAAATATTCAGACAAGAATCTTGGTGACGCCCATGTGTTTGTATTTGTTATATTTTCTTTTTGTTTTTAAATGTTTCGTGACCTTGAGTAAGTCCTTTCAACCACGTGTCTGTGCTGTGAGATCTTAAATTGTACTGAATAATGATGTATGTTTGTCGTACCCTTGAGTTTTTGAATACAGTATTTTTCTTGCTCTTTTCCCATAGAGGGTCAAGCTTCAAATGAGATTGAGTTGTAATCATGATTTTGGAGTCTCCGGATCCGCGCATTCCCCAAAGAATGGAACAATTTGTGGACAGCCTTGTTTAAAAGTGTTCAGTTTTTACGTGGACGAATTTGAAATTCTTCGGGTTCGGGCAGTCGGAAATATGTAACTTCCTACTATACTTTAAAAATTATCCAAAAATTTTAATTTATATTTAAATTTGAAAATATTCAATATTTACGTGAACGAATTTGAAAATCTTTGAGTTCGGGCAGTCGGAAAACTTGCAATTGTTACATTTTTTTGCTGTTGCTGTTGTTCAGCTTGCCAAAATGGGGAAGTTATGGATCCCGGTGTTCGATCGCATCTCACATATCGCCCCGAGGTGAAATCTAACGATAGAAAAGACGGGAAAAATTTGCACAAAAAGCCTCCATGAGCACCTTATTCAATGAAACTGCGAAAAATAGATAGTGCATTAAAAAAATTTCGCAAAAAAAAAAGATCCTCGATTTCTCATGAAAAATCCTTTTTGTGACTCGATGAATCCTTCGACAGCGTTTCCTCCTTCATCAAAATTGTTTTTCTGAACTTACGCTATTCAAATTCAGATCTGCCAATAAGTTGAATCCGATTTCTTAAAATGAAATCTTTCTGGCGAGGACAGCTACATCTGGTTATTACGATTCTCGTTATATTGAATTACTGATTTCAACCAAGTCGTTTTTTTCAGCTCCGCTCCTCAATAGTAATAATGTTCTTCACATGTCTTTATGACAAATTTCTCGTTAAAACGAAGATATGTTCATGGGCGTACGCCTTCGTTGTAACGAGATTTCCCCGTAAGTTTATTCAAAAAACAAATCTCAACATTTAACTGCTCACGCGGGATTTCAATGTCCAAAAAAGAAAATTAGCTTCATCTTCGTGAACATTTCATAGGGAGGAATTTCATCACAATTTTTTCCTGATTTCCTGATACACGACTTCCCACCAGGAAAAAGCCTTTCATATAAAAAAAATTGAAAAAATTCAAATTTCATTTCTCTCTGTTCTTTTCTATTTTACAGTCAAACCCGTGAGACGACAGGTGCGAATCCGTCCGACGACGCGTAACCGGGAGCGACACGAGGCCGTGCCAGGCACCATGGTCGACAGTGACGTGGACCTGGCCCCGGGAGCCGCGTCGTCAGTGCTGCGCCATGCGGCGGCGCCTGGCAACCGCCTGGACGACGAGCAGGCTGCTGCTGCGGCGGCGGCGCGGCGGCGACGTCTGCCAGCAGCTGACGTGCTGTCGCGACGGCGGTCTCGTCTGCCCGTCACGCGTCGCGGCGTCGGCACCAAAGCCGCTCCCGTCACCACTGTCGGTGAGTTCTTGAGCCAAAAAGAAAAAATGAGAAGACAATAATGACAAAAGTTGTGCGATGAAATGATACGAAACAGTTTCAATCTGTCAACACGCAACAAAAAAAAAAAAAATCTCTAACGAAAAACTCTCCCGAGTAAATTAGACGACGCATTATTTGTTCTAACTCGAATCGGTGTTGGTCTCCTCCGAAGCTCATTTTAGGCAAATAAATACCCTGATAAATAAAATTAGCATAATCAATGCGATTTAAAGAATCTCGTCAATATATTTTATGGTTGAGCTCCTTATTCTCCGCACATTTGCTTTGTAAAATGCTGCTTTTAAAAATGATTTTCTTGGTGCGGAATATACCTTATATACCTTGGATTTATTTGGATGTCAAATTTTAAACGGAAAAATAGTCCGCGGCAAAATTTCGAATTCAGCAAAACGAAATGGTCTAGAAAATTTCATGTATTGTACTGTATTGTTGAAAGCAGTTCGAATGATCATACTCTACTCTGTTTGGTATCGATTGAGACAATATTACGTTTATGTCCTCTGTTCACCTGCTTCAAAAAGCGAGTTGATTGTTTTTTTCTGCATCAAAGATTCGCACTGAGCGATACACTGGACAGAGAGAAAAAAAGTAAAAATAATTCTGTGAAAACCGCAGTCATTTCATATAAAAATGCTATATAAGGAATACTTTCTCGGAAGACCAGGAAAATCGATTTTTTTCGTTCGGCGTTGTTCGTAGCATGCCTGTGATTTTCCAGTTCTTCATTTCTGCTCGGTTTCGTGCCGGAAAGAAAGGCAAGACATGATTGATTGTATGAAATTTTCTGCAGCTGTGTGAATAATTTTTTTTCGTGAAGATAAAAATTATATTTTCAAGTTTTTTCTGAGCAATTCTACTATTCCATCAAGAGGTGAACCCAGTTTACAAGACATGACTGCGGTGACCTTTCCAGATGGCTTAGTGATGGATAAATGACGTGATAAAATTTCTAGCTACTTTTCAATTTATTATTCACAATTTCGCGCCCCGAATTGTTGACATGCGCAGAAAACGACGTCTCGTAGTAGAGCCAAGAGGAGGAATTAACATATTGTAATGTGGAAATTGGCATTGGGAAAATTTTATGCATGCCAAAAAATCATTTTGACATCTTTCAGCTTGATTTGATCCTTCGATTCTAAACCTTTTTTAAATTTCACTTTGAATACTTCGCGAAACAGAGGGAAGAATAAGATTACTGAAATCGAATTCATAATACAGAAAATCAAATTATTTTTTCTTTCACCATAGAATAAACCTTTGTTCTGAAAATGAAATGCCTATTTTTAATTTTTTACCCGCTTCGAATGGAAACCGAAGTTGAGGTTTTAATCTTCGTGTAAATTGCACGAAATCGCTTCCAGCAGTATCGACTGTTCGATGCGAATAGAGTGTTGAAATAAGCAAGAAAATGGAGCGGATTAGAATGGCGATGTTTTAAAAGTTTTTCGGAATAATCTGATCATCGCTCGATCTCACTTTCAATACTTCCCAGAAAAGAAGAGAAAATCATGGCTGCGTAAAAATTATGAAACTAATGGCTCTCATAAAACATATAACCTTTTACAATATTTTGAAGCATCAAACATTGATTAAATCTTTTCCACGTTTCACAATTTTCACCGCTGCTGATGATCAAGGCAAAAAATACATTATCGTCTTCTATATTACCCAAACCGGTCACAATTTCAACTTGTTTGATGAAAATGGGGCATGGGAATGAGAAAGAAAATGTACAAGACAATAATATTATTTTTTCAAATTTTTCGAGGTAATCTGATCATCTGAATTCGCTTGTTCCACAGTCAATATTTCTCAAGGAAGAAAATAAAATAGTGGCTGATGGGTGAAAATTATAAACCTCAGGCCCTCATCGAAAAAAAAAACATTGTATTGTAATTTGAAGCATCAGATATTGATACATAAACTTTACCCCCGCGGATGATCAAGGCGAAAATGCATGAGCATATTCTGTACAATTATATTGCACAAGCCGGTCACATTATAAACTTATTTGATGAAAATCAAGTATGGGAATTAGGAATAAAATGTAGAAGACAATAATATTATGCTTGCAAAACTTTCGAGATGATCTGATCATCGGCATCTTGAAAAAGATGAAACGTTTGGTCCTCGAACTCCTCATTGAAAATAAAACCTGTCACGTAATTTTTGAAGCAATAAAAAAATTTGATTTTCCTCTGAAAAAATGATTTCAGCTGTTGATGACCCAGACAAAAAGTACAAGATCGTCTGCTACTACACGAACTGGTCGCAGTATCGGCCCACAATCGGCAAATACGTGCCAGAAGACATCGATCCGTTTTTGTGCACCCACGTCATTTTCGCCTTCGGCTGGCTCAAGAAGGGCAAATTAGCTTCCTTCGAAGGCAACGATGAGACGAAAGATGGCAAAGTCGGCCTCTACGAAAGAATCGCCAAGCTCAAGGAAGCTAATCCTGAGCTCAAGACACTTCTTGCCATCGGTGAGTATCATTTTCATATTTTTTTGCATAATTTTTTCTTTCTTCTTCTTGGACTTGGTTATTTTTGAAGTGACTCAGCCAATTCGATGCTATATATAGGAAGAGAACGTGAGCCTCAAGGGCATATCTTTCATTTTATCCCAACTTCGAAGGCTTTCCGTGATTTGAATCGCTGATTGAGTATAGGAATAAATAAATAATGTGATGGAATGATCCGTTCGGGATGGAAGGGATTATATATTGGCTCATTCGACATTTTTTGTTGCACAGTAAACGTATAATGGTTGAAAATTTGAGCTTTTATCGAGAGCATCTCATGAATTCTGATGACCAATTTTACTCGAGGAAGTTGCCTTCATTCCATGTTTGATTAAAATGGAATAATGAAGTTGACATCCTTCCATACTTTGACATGTAACGTTGTTGATTCTAATTTAGCTACTTTTTGGCATCGATTTTGGTCGACTACCGGGGTTACTATTTTTCGAAGAATTTGGCATTCTCTTGTGTCAAAATGAGCCATCGTTGAGCCCCTTGTTTTTTGAAAAACTGGTTATTCACCTGTGGAATCAAATCTCACTCTTCTTCAAAATTGTAAAATAAGATTGCTAAGGACATACAATAATTTCTGATGACCAATTTCACTTGAGTATGCCTTCTTTCCACTTTTGAGCTGAATAGAATAATGAAATTTATGCTCTTTCATACTTTTGGCATGAGACGTTGTTGATTTAATTTAGCTATTTTTGGCATCGANGAGACGAGATTTTTCGTCTCTTTCTTGACAGCTGGTTTGTGTTTTTGCGAAGTCTTGAGGGGTCGAATGACCCCGAGTTTTTAGAGGAGTCGATGTCCCCCTGTCAAAAGGGTGGCGCCGACTTTTTCGGCAATTTGTTTTATCCCGTTTCCGGGGATCGCTCTCCTTTTTTGGCCTCAAGGGTCTTTGTTTTGCCAATTCGTTTCGCGTTTTATTTCAGGATACCCCTTTTGCGGGAATTGGTTTTAACTTTTGTTTGTGTCGGCGCATCCCGGTGATGCGCCAATTGGATTACAGTTTCGGCTCCAATTTGGCGCCTTGTTTCATAGAGGGACCGCGAGAAAATTCCGCACAATTTTTTGTTGCACAGTAAACGTATAATGGTTGAAAATTTGAGCTTTTATTGAGAGGATCTCATGAATTCTGATGACCAATTTTACTCAAGGAAGTTGTCTTCATTCCAGGTTTGATTAAAATGGAATAATGAAGTTGACATCCTTTCATACTTTGACATGTAACATTGTCGATTTTAATTTAGCTACTTTTTTTGGCATTGATTTTGGTCGACTTCCGGGGTTACTATTTTTCAAAGAATTTGGCATTCTCTTGGGTCAAAATAAGCCATTGTTGAGCCCCTTGTTTTTTGAAAAACTGGTTATTCACCTGTGGAATCAAATCTCACTCTTCTTCAAAATTGTAAAATAAGATTGCTAAGGACATACAATAATTTCTGATGACCAATTTCACTTGAGTATGCCTTCTTTCCACTTTTGAGCTGAATAGAATAATGAAATTTATGCTCTTTCATACTTTTGGCATGAGACGTTGTTGATTTAATTTAGCTATTTTTGGCATCGACTTCGGTCAAATACCGGGGTTATTGTTCAATAAATACAGAATCATCTTGTCAAAATGATGAAAACGCTCCTCGTGAAGCCAGATTTTCAAACTGGTTATTTCACCTGTCAAAAAACATCGAATAAATAGTTCACTAATCTTCAAAATTTCAAAATATTAAAGGTATAAGGAGTCTAACGACAAATCAGGAATTCTGATGTTAAATTTTACTTCAGTCAGTCTTCATTCCATTAAAATGGATTAATGAGGTTTGCTTCCTTTCATACTTTTGGCATGTGACGTTGCTGATTTACTTGAGCTATGTTTGGCATTGGCTTTGGTCAACTACCGAGGTTATTATTAGCATTCTCTTGAATAAATGACGAGAAAACTCATCGTAAAGCCCGATTTTTGAAACAAAAGGTTATTCCACCCGTCGAATAAAAGCGAAGATATTTTTTTCTCGTCTTGAAAATGGTAAAACTATTATAGGATATAATTTTTTGGACCAAAAAGTTAAAAATTTTCCTGGATGCTCTCATTTTCTTTCGTCCAGGCTCATGCAAACCTGACTTAATGCTAAACGTCGTTTGTTCTTCCCTCAAAATGACGTCACGAAAGCCAAACAATCATCTTGCTGCAGTTATTATTTTCAAAACTCCTGTTGCTTCATCAGAATGAAAATAAACTTCAGATCCTGTAGTTTTTTTTTCCAGGATGAGGGGGGCTTTGTTCCACGCATGAAATGCAAAAGTTGATGACTGCAATCACGACGATGAGTCGAGTCATGTCAAGTTTTCAATCCCTGTTGTGTATTTCTTTTCCTTTCCTTGTGTTCAAAAAAATTATTTCGCCACTTTTGACGAGATACGCGTGTAACAGGTGCACAACTTGCGGAAACCGCGTGGGAAATCCGTTGCTTTTCTTTTTCAAAGCTTTTTGTTTTAAATGTCTTCTCCCCCCGAGGTTTCAATTCCCTGGGTTTCAAAAGGACAATTTCTCATTACACGTGTTATGCTGAAGTCGTGCTATTTTCATTGGTTGTCCCCCTGCGGCCGGGGACCAGGAAATGGTGGTTTCGTGATTAAATGCCGCTGGTTCAAAAGGAACCACTTTTGCCTCGGAGGGGCCTCTTTTGATGGTGATTAATAATGGGTCTTCGGAATCAAGGATTTTTCTATGGTTTTTCTTTTTTTTAATTTCTCATAGTTTTTTCCCCTCAAATCGGGCTAAATGGGGAGAATATTCTATAGCTTCCGGCATTTTGCCGGGGGTTTATTTGCATTGCATGACTTTCGTGAGGAAGAGAATTAATCACGCTTTGCCCGGCTTGGACAACAAAAAAGGGAAATAATTCGTGATTTGGTAATTTAGGAAAGGATTGGAGGCAGAGAATTTTTTTTCTAAGATAAAGAAATTAGTTCCACAAACGCGGCGTATTTTTTAAAGTTTTTTTTTTATTGTTGCTTCAGGTTTTTCATTTTTGCTGGGAACTATTCTGGAGCTGAATCCGTTGAGTTAATCTCTGCTGCTTCTGTTTTAGACATGCTTCAAACTGTTTTTGTTTCTTAGAATTTCGAGTTAAAATGCGACCCTCGTCGTTTTTGTGGCCAAAAAATAATAGAAAAAACAATCATTTTAATTTATTCATTATTGTTTTCGAATGCTGTACAGCCTTTCGGTACACAAAAGCGTGACAATGCATGAAAGCATATCTGACAAAAAACCCTGAAACTGTGATTTTTTCCAAAGTTGCAAATTGTATATGCCTGAACACACCCGTCCGTTTGATTAAATCTGGAAACATTTTTTGTATTCAGGCAAGTTCCACATCTTCCGGTAGTTTTTGGTCGAAATCTAAGCGTTTACGCGTGTATAGATGCTGAGGAAATCCAAGAATCCAGATTGAACACCATTTCAGATCTCATGAATGTCATTTAAAGAATTACTGTACATTTATCCAGTACAATCGAAGTGGAATTTCTGCATTTTTCGAGATTTGACTCGAATTTCAAGTTTGCTGTTCAAAACAGAGCACGATGTTCCGCATCTTTTTTTTAGAGTCTATCTGCAAGAAATATGGTACAGTTGAACCTCTATATAAGTCGAATTTCAAGGGACCAGCAAACCAAAAATTGACTTTGGCAGGTTTTGAGTTAAAAAGAATCATATATGTTTGGCTTATGGAATCGAGCTTTTTTATCGTGGGAAAAATTGAAAAACTGCGCTAAATTGTACACTGAGATATTCTGAACCTAAAATTGCTTCTAAAGTGAGTTGACAGGGCACTAAATTTTGAAACAGGCGGGGTTCGTTTGCCCAATTTAGTCTGTCACATCCTTTGAAAGCACATCAAATTTAATTTATTACTTTTTTCTTTCCTGTTTCATTAAAATAATAGCCTGAAGCCCTAAAGAAATTGAATAATGGAGGTTTTAGAGGAAAAATGTTCAAGTTAGGAAGTTTTTCAAGACAATATTTTGTAAGAGAATTCAGACAGGGATTGGAAAAAATTTGACTTCGGGAGGTCAACTGTATCTAATACCAGCTGAAGTTAGGCAGAAGAATTTACAGCATTTCGAATTGAGTTGGAATAAGGTATGATAGAATTCATTTCATATATGGAAGGATAATCAATTAAATTTTCTATTTCTGTTGCAAAAACGGTCCTTATTGGAACACATTGAAATTTCAAATTGGGAATTTTGTTGAAGATGTATCCCAACGTCAAGCTTCATTCATAAATGTTTATTGAAAATCTTGCTCATACAGAATCTTCAAAATTTTCCGTCTTTGGAAATTGCCATTAGATTGAGAAGAATTTTCAAAATGTAGAATCGACGTGAAGTAATTTATGATTGCGACTTTATGCTCATACATAGTGCTAAGGAAATTAATTTTCTATAATCCTGTTACAAAAACGAACTGTCAACTCTCAAAATTTCCAAAGCGTGAATTTTGCTTTGAACGAATCCCAACGCTGAGCTTCATTTATAAAGATTTGTAAAGTCATTGCCTATACAACATCTGCAAAACTTTTTGGTACGTGGATCGTGGCATGCGACTGCAAAGAATTTCCAAGATTTAGAATGGACATGGAAAAATTGATGATAAAATTTCTATACTCATCCAGAACTAAGTACTTGATTTTCTAGTCCTGATATGATACAGAAGCGGCCCTGATGGAACTGCGTTCTGCTAAAAAAGAATCACACGTTTGAGTTTTATTAATAAAAAGCGCTGAGATGCATTTATTCTATTTAGTTTCCGAAGCTATAAGTAAATCTCAATGCGGATTTCAAAAATGAAGACAAGACAGGTGAATTCTTCAGAAAGAATGACAGCATGATCTCATCAAACCGCAAGTTTCTTCTCCAACGTCTCTCCTTTTTTTTAAATTTTTTTCTTCTGTTTTTGTTATTTTTTTTTTACTCCCCCAAGCTGAGCTAATTGTGGGTTTCGACGTCGTGACAGCGAGATCACGAGTTTTCGTGATATATATATATATATATTTTTGTTTTTCGTCGAAACGCGTTTTTCAATGCATCCCATACGTGAAGGAACATGTATGGGATGTTGGCATCGTTCGGCACCTGCTCTCTTTCTTTTATCGCATCGTGGTCGGGCTCACACATTATGCAATAGTGACATTTTATTATCTTTTTTCTTCGTCACTTCTTATATCATTATTTTTTCTTTCGGTTGGCCCAAAACTTGCGGCGTCTTTAGTCCCCATACTGCGTAGTTACCTTGTTGCCGTCACGTTCCAATGCTTCGGCGATGGGCGTAATGTAGGGAATATATACGAAAGGATGGCCGAGGAAAAAAGGGTAGGCAAGCTTTTTTTTCTCAATTTTTTTAAAGCATTTTTATTGAGTTTCGAACCCAGTGGCTGGGTTGAAAGGGGAAAGAAATTGTGTACGAAGGTATTCGACTTGGAGTGAAGCAGGTTTGCACGTAGAAATTAATAAGTTAATTTCGATGAATGTGTTATCATGATTTCTCGTGCAATTTGCTCTTGCTTCGTCGATTTACAACTGCCGTAGAATCTCTTTAGAACGAATTAATGGTTGCAAGGATTTTTTTCTTGGTCCCAGTCTTCATCAGTAACAATGGCATTTTAATTTCGTTTTAGGGAATTCCCGTTCATAGCAAAGCTTTTTTTTTACGGTCCCGAACGCTTTATTGTGATGGATGAGATTCTACTGTTTAATCATCGTCTCTAATTGAGAGAAAAGGCATAAGAGACGTGATTTGGGGAGTGAAGTGAAATTCGATTTAGTTATTTTCGCGAGAGAAAGTAATCTTGTTCAGTTTTCTGGCAAAAAGTGAACCACGAATGTCGCAGACAATAGCAAAGGAACTTATTCGTAGAGAAAAGAAGAGGCGAAATTGCTGGCAGGAAAAAATGACGGATATGAAAAACAATGACGAAGAAACATTTTCTTTGTCGCTTTTGTTTCGTGAGGTGTCAATTTTATCTTCTTTCCCTGCCAACATTTTGTCAGCAGAGACTTCCGCAAATTTTCCCCCAATGAAAATGTTTCACGTGTACAGTTGGTGCGAAAGTCACGGTGAAATTCCTGCGAGAAACATTGATGAAATTTCCGAATCTTTTGGAAAACGTTGATTGAAATTTATTTGCATATTTTTAAATCGTTGTAAACTGGGCAATATGCTTGAGAACTCAATTGAATTCAGGTCGTATTATCAAAAGTGCTGGGAAACGAAACAATGGGAAAAGTTTTCTTCAGAATGGACGATTCTGTCTTTCTATTTGTTCGGCCCACGTGTCCTGAGTTTTAACAAAGAAGGTCATCCACTGATATCAAAAAAATAGAAAATCAATTTTTTGCCGAAAAATATCAACCTTATTTCTCAAAATATTTTCCATGCCTAAAAAGTGTCTTTTAAATTTATTCCCACTTTCACAGAAGTGTGTTACAAAAATTCCACAAAATTAAGTATTCAATGCGGTCTATTTTACCTGAAAAAATGTACGGACAGATATTTGAAAAAGGGAGGACCCTTCGTACGAACTTTAGGATTAGCCTTTTTATACAGGTATTATAAGATTTCGCGCATGTATTTTCCATTTTTAATGGAATGTTCAGGGATGTATATTTCACCTCAAACAGAAAGACCTTGAGATTTGTACACGCTACTGTATTTCACAAGCGTGATATTCAATTTCTACTCCCTGAGAAACTTACGAGGCTATTATTACAGCTCTGTCAAACCATAAAAACCTTGGCGTGATCTTCCTACAGGAAACGTGATAAATGCTGTATTTCTTGGGGGGAAAAATTGAAAATCTTCCACGACAATTTCGGCCAAAATAGTTATAAGGTAAAAAATAATAATATTGTAGGTAATATTCGGGCTTTGTGAGAGTTTTTCATAATTCTGAAACCTGCTGTTGATTCGAATTTTATTTTCGAGCACTTGCTTGATTTTTTTTGTTGCTTGAAAACGAGTTTGGTCATCTTGAAGGTGGGAATTAAATCTATTCATGAATAATATTTGAATGGTACTTTTGGAAGTGCGAATTATGGTTTCCATAAATCTTCCGTACAAGTCGATGGCGAAAAATTTAGGTTAGCTTCGAGATCGTGAACCCGAGGGTTTTTTTCTGGATACAGAATATTATATTACGTACAATATTCTATATATTCTGGATCTAATACAAGTAGAGGTTAAGTTTATTGTGCATCCGATTTAAATTTCCTAATTTTTCTAGATTGTTAGGGAAATTTTTGCTTGAGTATACGAACTAGTTTTTTGAAGCGTTTTCTACAAAGCAAATAGAAAAATTACTGATCAACCTCTTTGGATAATTATCTGAAATTATTCAACTCTTTGCTTCTGTGAAAATTTTTCTCGCTTTAGGATGGAAATAGAGCGTTTGATTTCAATTTTTTTTCAATTGCATCAGTATTTATGGCATATTTTCACTTTAATGTTCCACTGGTACGCGTCTATTATATTTAAAGTACTGTATTAATTTTAATGACTCAAGAAAACTTTCACTTTTAATCGAAGCCTACTTTCGTTTTTCAATCTCGTCATAGACTGCCTTTGTTTTCCTGAATAAGAAATGTTTCGTAGAAAATGTAGATTTCGTATACCCCAAAAACCTAAATTTAAGATTCTCACTCAATTAGGTAAATTTTATCACTGATCAATGAGATTAATCTCGCTTTTAGACATCCACAGCTAAAATCGTCATTTAATACCGTACTTGAAAATTCTGACAAAATTTCGTCAAGCTGCATTACTTGCTGCAAATGGAAACGATCTTGTTAGGATTTACGATGCATGGGACTTATTCTAATAAATAAGCCAAAAAGAGAGGGGGGAAAATCCACTTGTGTGGCGTATTTATTTTTTATTTTTTTTGTTCTTGGGCAACTCAGTTCACCCTTGGAAAGTGCATAACCGATTCTTGCCCCAGTCTTTTTCGTCACGGTCCACCGACGAACTGCTACGAGGTCATTGCAACCATCGCATAATCTCCTTCCATCAAGCGAAAGACTACAATAAAGACGATTCAAATAGAGACTTGTGTATTCTATAAATCACAGTAATGCTTTTTTGTTTTGTTTACAGTCATGAAAACCGAAAGCCATTTTTGGTAACGACATTATTTTCTTGTTTACTCTGCTATATTTATTCGATGCGTCAGGCATGCGTCCGAAGTACGGTGTAGATTTCAGGATTTTTGAATTTTTTTATCTCATGGCTGACATGGGATTGGAAATTAAAATGCCATAAAATGTTACAAAATGCTGCATTATGATTTTACTGCCAAAAATATGCCAACAGCTGGATGTACACTGGACTTCCAGCCGAGCGCATCAGAATTGCATCATTCATGTCGAGATTGTCGTTTATTATTCCCGAAAGCTCACGTTTATTGAAGATTTGGAAATTGCTTTCATGCTTCGAATTTTGGACGATAAAAGGCTGGACACTCACGTGTATGTATTCTCATATTCTCCTTGTTAAAAAAAAAGGTTTGAAATTAACGAGTGGAAACCTGAGCGAAAATGCGCCCAACTACTGTACTGTATTACCGAATATTTGCGAAAATCCAAGTTTATAGTTGCATTTTGAATAAAATCGGCAAAAATAGAGATCAATTGTTACATTCATTCTCGACAGAAATGACGTCATTTCCCGAATGGTATTATTCAAGCACATCCATCAGCGAAATGTCCCGCTTTCGAAATTTTTTACAAATAATTCCGATCAAATACGATTTTTTGCCAACGTCAAGTAGAATCTGTAAAACTATTTCTAGTTTTAATTTTTCATAAATTCAATTCATACGGAAAATATCACTCTTCGATATTATGTGAAGACATGCAATGCCTCTACAGTCCGTGATAAAATCTACGCCATCATCATTTGGTTTCGATTCGGAAAATATTTTTAAAAAGAAAACGGCGTTATTCAGCGCACCAGAAAAATAAATGTTTTAAACTTTAAAGTGCGTCACTGAAGAAATTTAAATCCGTTTTAAGGAAGAACATGTTTTTTTTTTTTAACATGACAGAAAGCAACCACTTCAGCCATGTGTTGAAATTCATTCGATTAAAACTTCGAGGGACAAGCAAAAAACTCAGACTTAACGACAGAAGCAATTTGTTTTGTGGAAGAAAGAAGAAATACTGTACAGAAAATCGTTATATTGGTGATATTCAGGGCCTTGAATTGCTTTCATATATGAGTTGTTGAAATACTGAATTTGGAGGCACGGGTTCATTTGTCAAATTCATCTTTAAATTCTTTAAAAAAATGGTTATGTTTAATTGCACTTCCTTTTCCAGCGTCTGTAAAATAATAGGCAGCTCCAGAAAATTTAAGATATGCACGTTTATACATAGGGAGGGGAGCCTTTTAGTTTAGGGATGTTTCTAATGCATTGCTTCTATACGGGACTGCAGACATATAGGAAATTGCAAAATTGACGTGAGGAAGTACTGTATTCGACTTGGAGATGTGCGACTTATCAAGGTTCAATGCATACGATTATTTTTTAAATAAATATAAAAAAACACAGAATTTTCGAAAGCTATATATAGGTGATGGTGATGCAGTTCATGTTTGTTTGCTGAGTGTGTGTGTGTTTCTGCAACTGCTGAATAATCCTGGGTCTCGGTCTGTTGCAGGCGGGTGGTCGTTCGGAACGCAGAAATTCAAGGACATGTCCAAGACTCGGTACGCCAGGCAGATCTTCATCTTCAGTGCGCTGGCGTATCTCCGCGAGCACAAATTCGACGGGCTCGACATCGACTGGGAATATCCCAAGGGCAAAGACGACAAGAAGAACTACGTTTCCCTCCTGAAAGGTCAGTCCCAGATTCCAAAGCTTTTTATTGATTTAATTACAGCTAAAAATATATATATATACATATACTCATATTATTATACAGTACAGTAATATTACGGCATCATAATACAGTGAGAACCCGAGATACGGACGTAATTGGTACATCAAGAGTTTCCCTATAGTCGAAATGTCCCTAAGTCGAGCCTCATTCTCCCTTAGACTTACATCATTTAATTTTTAATTGATGTTTTATGGACAAAATACTCACCATAATTCCATGAAAATAAAAATTGTCTCCCAATTTAAACTGATTCAATCAATATATTTGAACACAATATGGACTTTTGGGGAATTGAATACTGATACCTCTGTACAGCGTGTAGAAATGTTGGCATTCTCTGTAAAAATAACATTCAAGTGAAAAAGTGAGAAGGAAGTCCCTCTATGTTGGAGGTACTTTTTTAATTAGCTAAATGGATGGTAAATTGTTGAGGGAAGTGCCTGAGAACTTTTCTTATACAGCAATTTTAGGGTCGGAAATATCTTTTTCTTGTAATTAGGCCTGCAACTTATTTGCAATTTTCTCACAAAATGTCCCTATGTTGAGTCACTGTCCTCATGTTGGGCCTTTTGTAATAGTTTTTTATGGGAAAATAAGTGTCCCTATGTCAAATTGTCTGTATTTCGTATTGTCTACATGTGGGGGTCTCACTGCATATGATGAAATACCGTCTTTCGTGCCTTTCTCACCGTAATTTTGAATCATCCGCAATTCCTCAGATACGAATATAGTTTTCCAGAAAACGACTTTCTCTTTTCAACACATGTGAAACCATCAGGCGAGAATTGAGTTTTCTGGAATTCACGCGGAAAACAGCGCATCAATTTTTCAATAATTTTATGAAGAGGAGAAAAATATCTCGAGAAGAATAACAGTAATCTTCGGAAAGGTCAAACCAAGATGTCCAGGCATTCCGTCAAATTCTTCCATTGCTGCATGAAATAATAGTATTGTACCCGATTCACAGAGGTGAGTTTTCTGTTTTTCTCAGCATTTGAATCATCCAATTTACCAACTACAGTACTAAAAAAAAAAATTTATATATACATGAGAAGGAACGAAAAATTTAATTTTTTTGAATCACGGTAAACTGCGCAGAACATTTGCGATCATTTGTATTGACCCGAGAAAATACAACGAGATGAAGTCAATTTATCTCCCGTCAGTCAGAGATTATTTAGATTCGCAGGCTTTTGTTAAATTATTTCATTGCTAAAAAAAATAAATTCCGTAATAATGCCGTACTCACAGAGATGCATGTTGTGGCTTTCTCAGCAATTGAATCATCCGCAGATACGAATAATTTACACTAAAACAAGTTGCTGTTTTTTAACAGGCAGAGTTAAAAACCAACAAACATTTTTCAATTACGTACTATAAAAACAAGAAAAAAATTATGAAGTGGGCTAGTTTCGTGGCTCTCTCTAAACCTGTGACTTATTCAAATGTGTACAAATATATGTTAGAGATGAAATTTGCTTTTCAACTTGATTGAAAGCAGAACATCGCTTTATTTGTTTGCTCCATCGGAATTTCAGCGTGTTCCTTTCTTGCGGAATATATTAATTTCAAGTGTTAAACAGGGAGCAGCCAAAACTAAAATATAGAAGTAAGACATTTTGTATTCCGAGGGGCTAAAAGATGTGAGCTTTGTAGCTTTAAAAAAAAACGGATGCAGAAAAAAAAAATTTGCTTGGCCCAGAACCACCATCTTTCATTGGCATTGAATCTCGCTGGTATTTTCTTCCCCGGCATTTTCTCCATGTTGGCATTTCATCCTGACCACTTATCATAGATTTTTTATCGAGGAAAATTCTACGAAAGAATACGAAAGAATTAACAAAAAAGAGAGAATTTTCGAGCAATGCGAAAGGAACTTCAAGTCACGTATTTTTTTTACGTGACTGGATGCTATAGAACTGGACATTTGTGTTGTTATTTGACTCATTATCGTCTGATTATCCCAAGGGTAAATATGACAAGACAACGGGAACTACTACAGTACTTGTCTCTCCTTAAAGGTCAGCCAATAATATTTCAGGGATTTCCGTGGAATTATTTCAGCCGTGACAAATAGCTTGAAAGCATTTAATTTGGTGACCTTTTTCAAAAGCGAATTGCACGCATGAAAATTTACAGCAAAAATATTCGACAGAACCTCAGTGCATAATTTTCTCAAGCTGCTGTGTGAAAATTTTTCAACAGTAAAACAGTAATATGTTCGACGAACGCAAATTTCATTAAAAAAAGTACAGTATGCAAGCCAATTTTCCGTTATTGATTTTACTTTAAGCGATTCCATTTGTACTTGGTGAATGTAAAACTTTCTGCGAATCTTTGATTCATTCTGTGGTCGTCGTATCAACTTGACAATATACAGTAATTACCTCCGAAAAACGTTTACCTCGATTCTGTAAAATGGCACGACTTGAGAAAAACCTTGTATATAAATTTTTTGGAAATAAAAGGGGAACGAAATGTGTGTGAATACGGGAATTTTGAATCCGGTTGATCCTCGAAATCATAATTCATTTCTTCGAAGAATCACAATATTGGAATCTTTATTTTCTGTCTTGTTTTGGACAATTTTTATTGCATGTTTTTTCTACCGTATTCTATGCTTATCGACGAGCATTTCAATTTAAAATACAATTTTGAATATTTTTCTCAGACTTGCCTCATGCATAGAACACGATTCCTTGGCTTCATCAATTTTATTAATTTTTTCCACTATTTTCGTTTTATTCTACCTTGAAAAATGAATCTCATTTGCACTTCTTTCTATTTCGGGAAAAATGAAGCAAAGTGAATATTAAGTACGACGTTGCACAATCTGTTTAATGACGGAATAACCTCAGTTTTCTTTCTTTTCGAAAACGCTTACCATTGTTCCAATTTTAAAACTCGAAAAAATTATGAAGAACTTCGTTAAAAAAAAGAATGAATTTATAAATGGTACGAAGCCCATTTGGTATCACAGGGAACATGCACAAGAGCTCACACGCCCAGCAATTAACATCTCCCTCAGCCTTCAGAGAATTCTCAGCATGAAGTCTGCTGAACTTTTCCACCCGAGAAAAAAAAAAAACATGCGGAAAAATTGGGCAATAATGAAAATGTTTAGAATAAAAGCTTTGGTAGTCGCAACACGACTATAGGGTTGCGCAATTTCTGTCGCGTGGGTGAACCGAATAATATGAACTGAGGTCGACGAAAATAATGGTGCGGAAGAAATATCGATGAATTTTTCATGTCTTCCATCGCTTTTGTTTTCTCTCAATTCAGATGTTGAAATTCTCGACTGGAATTTTCTGGTGCGTAAAAAATGAATTTCGCTTGAGTAAAAAAATGCCCTGTTTATCACAGAAAGGAATTCAGCAACTTAGTGAGGATCAATAAAGAAACTTATTCCTAATTTGGAACTTTCTGAAAAATCACTAAAAAAAAATCGTAGACTGCTTATCTTCTTAATTATTGTGTCATGCTAATGAAGGGGAATGGAGAAGAGACATGGAAAACAACTTCATTCTATACAGCGATAAATCTGCTGTTTTTTAGCGACCCATGCATCAATCATTAATATTGTTGTGAGGCCTGATGGCAATAATATTCTGTGATAAATTCCTCTCTGTGAATCAATTATTGCCGTAATTTTTCAGTGCCGCCTAATGAGTTTTCAAGTAACGCAATTTAACATGCGAATATGAAAACAAAAAAATCATGATCGCCACTCCTCATATTCATGTGACTTTCTGCACTCAGTGAGTTTATGGGAAGTTTATGAAAAAAATTAATCGAAAAACATTTATACAATCTCAATTTAAAAAAAGATAATCAGGGGAACAATCAAAGATTGTTGAACACTTCAGTATCCCTTGAAAATATTTTTTTGCCAATGTTTCATATAGTGAAGATTCCTGCCTATAATAGAACGAAAGGGAAGATGATTCATTTGCGTACTTGACGAAACCCGTCGATAGAAACCCGGACTCGGACAACGAACTAATGACAGAATAACGTGTTCAGAATTCCCATTAGCATCATCACCAATAAAACCGCCGATATTGTAATTTTTAAAACTTTTATAAGTATATTTGAAATGCGTATGTCATTCGTTTTGATTGCGGATGTACCCAAAAATCCATGTAAATAATTTCTCATACTCGAAAATTTGTGGATTTGTTTCCAGTTACATTATTATTTAAATAACATTTTTGGGTTTGTATAAAAAAAAACCTACCGCATTTCCGACTGAGGAACGCCCTTCAATAAAAAACCTTTCATTTTTTTACGATTGGGCTAAGGTACAGTACTATACAGTAAAAATATCAAGAAAGAGCTTCTGGGTCTGATTTTTTAATGATGTACGATTGATGGTAAATACTATCCATAAAAGTATTTATAATTTGTTTTCCGTTGAGCTACGGTAATATTCATATTCAGGAAACATTTTGGTCGTGGTTTGAAGAAGTTTGAAGCATGTTTTTCCCCGGAAAATACCCACTTAAGAGAGAAAAATTTCGAATTCGTTTCCGATTGAGAGAAGGTAAACCTATTTTCATTTCTAAATAGTTCAAGATCTGGTTCGAAACCAACGCATGCATTTTCCGATTGAAAAATGTCTTTTCAAGAAAAAAAGAGTTTCTTATTTGTTTCCTATATTTAATGTAGCTTATAAGGCAATGATTTATTAATATTCATTTTTTTTAAACAACTGAATTCCTGGGTCGGGGTTCGAAAAATGACGCACAGCGTTTCCGACAGAAGTCAGGAAGAGCCTTGAGACAGCGTCACGGCCGCGCGTTTCGATGTCGATCGTGTCGAGACCCCTTCTGAAGCGTGACATCCGATCCCTTCCGACGCGTGACACTTTGCTGGACACATGCGTGATTCGTGGCTCTCTCGACTTCTGCTGGTGGCCCCTCTGCTGACGAGAATAGATCGATTTCTGCAATGACGTGAACTAACCAGCTTCCTGAGGTCTTCCGGAACAATGATAACCTTGACTTTTGTAAAATCGCTTGGGTTTCCAATTTTTTACAAAACGGGTTGCCTTCCGGGAAACTCGGACTTTTTCCAAGTACTTTAACATAACAGAGCTTTTCAAATGATGTGGTACGGCATATGCCTTACTTGTAGTAGCCATAGTGCACCTGATGGCCGTTGGCACGCGATATTATGTATATATTAAAAAAAATCTTATTATATTGCGGTATTCTCGTGCAGTTGAATAATCTTCCTTACGATTGTACCACTTTCAAAGTACACATCATTAATTTACTATATATACTTTAGAATACAGAAGTGGTGAAATTTTTTTGAAGTATCCAATCAACTTACGCATGGAATCCATTCGGATTTTCCCTTGATTTCATTTGTTAGTCCTGCATCCAATTTGAGTTTACAAGCTTTTCCCTTTCTCGAATTTTTGATAGAGACACATTTGTATTATTTTTCAAGCTCCTCTGCAAATTCACTGTTTTACTTTTCTAACCGGAAGCTAGAAAGTTTCTATATACTGTACATCTTATTGCATACCATGTGTCTGGCTCTGAGGTCTTGTGTTGAGGAATTCAAAGTAATTTAATGCCATAGCATCTGCAAAAGCAATCTGGTGGTTGTAGGGACTTTAAATACAGTATGGAAAAATGGTACTTTCCTGTTATCTCAGTACATACTACCTAACTTCACCTAACCGCCTCCCAAAATCAGTTTCTGCTTTCTTTGGGTTTCTGCTGAAACTGATTTTGGGAGGCAGTTAGGTAAAGTAAGGTTAGGTCAGGTTATGTTAGTTAAAAGATATTTGTAACTAACATAATCTGACCTAACCTAACTTTAATTAACGCCTCCCAAAATCAGTTTCAGCAGAATGTGGAAAAATAAAATTCACAGTTTCTGGTAGGTCGTCATGATTATGAACTTGTCCTAAAGATTTATGCACCCTGTGACATCCATGGAAAACTTTGGCTGTAACTGGAAAGTTTTTGATGGTAGTGCAGTCTAGGAATGAGGTACTGAGATAACAGGAAAGTACCCTACATTTTTGGCACCCTGTGACATCCATGGAGAACTTTGGCTGTAACTGGAAAGTTTTCACTCATCAGCACCACACAGTAAATTGGAAAACTGTTTTAAAGATCTGGCAAAAAAAAATTTCAGATCCCTAGAACTTCATGGGCTATGTCAATATTATTTTATTTTTATTTTTCAATCACACCTACTCCAAAAATATCCGAGGTCGCGTCCAACCGGGACAACCCTCGTATACATAGCAACCAAAAAAAAAGCAACGTCCGGACACCCTCTGAAAGACGACTGAAGGAAGAAATAAATATGTCTGACCTCTGCGTGCAATGGCTCCTCATGCACAGTATATACGTAGTCCTGTTGGCGTCGCGAATGGCGGAAATTTCCAGCGAATGACCGCCAAAGGGAACCACGCGGGTGCCACGTGAATCCCCGGGCCGGCGGAAATGCGTTATTCTGCAGGGGATGCGGCCCCCTTGCATAATGCGAGTACCTTCCAATACAGCATCTTCTTCCCGTTCACACGATATACTGTATAAGGAACAAACAGAAAGTTCTATCTTATGAAAATGCATCACGTTCAAATCTCATCACAGTAATTTCCATTAAGGTCAAATCCCGTTACAATGACGAACTACTATACAGTAAAAAATAAAAATAATAATTCTCATACAATAAAGTCGACCCCCTCACAACGGACATCTGGTGCCAAAACAGACCAGCTTTAAATACAGTCCCCCTCGCGCAACGGACTAAATCAGCATAACGGACTTCTGTTGGTTTAAAATCAACGGCAAAAGAGTAAAAACGTTAATATTTTAATAATTGAATTTGCACACCAGACTTTTTGCATAACAGACAAGTCTGTTGCACGAATTATGCCTTACATTGATGCATTTGAAGGAAAATCTTGGTCCAATCTTTGTCAAAATGCAATTGTTAAAAAGTTACCAGAAGTAAAACTCCGCATTCAGCCTTCAAAAAATAAAATATTGAAAAATAAATTTTAATGTAATCTTCAGATTAAAATTTTTACAAATCAATTTGCTATCAATCCTTCTCAAATTGAATTTAGCATCTATTAGATACGGCAAAATATTTTAAATACTGTTGTTTTTAACCCAGAATTTTTAAAATTGAAATGATCAAAGAATAGGATGCATATCTTGTGCTTGGTTATTCATAAAGTAGTATAAATATGAAGCATCATTTATTATCATTTATATACAGTACATATGACACATTTATTGGATCAATTTATTCATATTAATCCTGGTGCACTTGTCTTACCATAGACCAATGTGCCACACACTTTAGCACCACACACTGTGTGTGTGGTGCTAAAGTAAATATGGTAATACAGTACAGTACTGTACTGCATATACTGTACATTCTTTTTTTTTTCTTAAATCAAGGGATCACTTCTCTTTGAAATCCAGCTATTTTCTGGTACCGTGTATCAAAATTCAACATACCGCAGTTTCCCCATGATGAGGGAAACTGCAAAAAAATTGACACACCAAAAACAACAAAAAGAGAAAATTTAAGATGTGAATGATGATTGATTAGAATCAGAAAGCAGTTTCATGTATGAACATGGCACTTACACAGCTGGTATAATAATGGACTACAGCAAAATGTCTGAAACGGGACTACATTTTTACTTCTTCATTGAGGGCAAGTACTTTGGGAAGAACCCTCTCCACAGATATTAAAGCTGGCAGACGCAGTGAATTAAATACTGTATTGCGGATATAACCAGACAATTCTCTAGCGTTTGCCTCATCACACCTTTTTTGGGATAAGTGGATATTCTATGGAACAGCTCTGCTTCCTAAACACTTGGTCCTTGGATTCATCTACTGTATTCTTAGACCGAAAAATACGGCAAAGATGTTGACACCTCATTTTTTTTCCTTAAAATGGTTTCTTGGAATTCTCGCAGCTGCTTTAAACTAGTGGACCACGGACCAGCACCAGTTCGCAGAAGTTTCTGGAAATTTTCAGCATAATTATGTTACATTTTTCAAAAATAGCAACACAGTTTGTTTTTTTATCAACAATTTTGGTAAGAAACTGAGGGTTGAAAATATTGGATGAAAATAAAAGTCTGCTTTTCTTCTCATAATAGCACTTCAGAAAAATTTTCACCCATTGAAATTAATCATTACCATTTTTATTTCTAAGAAACCTCTCTTCAAGCCCACCTTTCTCATTTTTTTGATGACATTCAGCTACGCTTTGTTGGTACTTGACTTAATTTTTGCAAAAAAGCAGGAACTTTTCAATACTTCTCATAAAGACTTTCAAGCAAAACTTTTTTGTTTGCAATAATTTTATGAATCTTTGCTGATCTGTAGAACATTTTTTGGGAACTTGCCATTCCGCTAAACATTTTATGCAAATTTGCTAGTCTGCAGGCCAAAAAAGGTTGGGGAACACTGTTTTAGACAAATTTCAGGATTATTTCAGGTGACTTTTGCTACATAAATAAAAGCTTTCAAGAAATGATTCAGGTTTTTTATTTTGCAAAGTGGGACCTTGAGATGAGTGCATAATCCATAATGGATATGCCCAAATGTTGAAACTACCCAAAATTTTGAGCACATTTTCCCTCAGACTCAAATTGAAATTTATTCAACTGGATCTTTGACTGGAATTCCCCAGTTTTGGATTCCTCTTGTCCAGACAAGCCTGATTGTATCTCAAAGTGGATTAGGTGGTTTCTATTTTTAACACGTTTTTATTAACTCGCTTTCTTGTCCGTTTGTTTGTCTGGATCAAATTTTGCAACTCAAATTTTGCTCACTTCCCGACTAGTCATGGAGATTGTTGGGAAGAAGTGAAATACAAATGAATTAGATGCGCACCCCATTTAAGGTTATTTTTTGCTTTTTGAAAACGTGGTTTTTTTGATTAATTTTTTAATCTACTAAATTTTTTTTTTTACTGTGTGCCTGTCTAGAGCAGTGTTCCCCAACCCTTGGTCCGCGGACCACCGTTCGGGGAACACTGCTCCAGACACCCACACAGTTAAACACAAAATAAAAAAACCCCATAATCCACATTGAGACACAATCATGCTTGTCTCGACAAGGAATCCAAAACCGTCTTATTCCCAATCATTTGGAATTCATGTTTGTCTCCTCGCAAGGAAAACACTATACACACACCAATTCAACAAGTCAACGACTTGTTTTCCGAGCCCAAGAACAAGATGTGAAATCTTACCTGGGACAAATGGCTGCCAGGAAACTTGAAAAAAAAATTAAAATCATCAATAAGAAAAAAAAAGAGGGAGACTTGGACACAAAAGGAAGAGAATTACCAACAGGGGGCTGGAATTCTCATCGATAATGGCAATGAAGTGGAGGCAAAAAAAAAAAAACCCATGTCTCAAATGGCAGCCAATTGCATTTTTCCTCCGAGGGTGTGTCAAGGTTTATTCATTTATTCTCCTCATAACCGGCTTTTCTCTAAGAATAAAGTTTACAAAGGCTAAACTTTTCCATTTATTGGATTAAAAATTCGCTGCATCGTTTTTTTTTTTTTTTTTTTTTTTTTTTTTTTTTTNACAAAGGCTAAACTTTTCCATTTATTGGATTAAAAATTCGCTGCATCGTTTTTTTTTTTTTTTTTTGCTTCTCATGTCAGGAATAATTAGGCTTCCTTTCCAGATTTCTTCATTATAAATCATTGCAACATAGTAAAATTTTGCTATAACGAAGCCGTTGGGACCAGTAAAATAGCTTCGTTGTAAGGAAAAATTCGTGCTAAAGGAACTCTTTCAACATCTTGGCTATTATTGGGGGTGGACCTGTAAAAACGAATTTGTTCTGAATCGATTATTCCTCATAATGAGATTCGTTGTAAGGATGCGGCAGCTACTGCATGAACATGAGCC